TATAATTCCTATATTCAAAGTGAAGTATTTAGGATAATGATATTTTTCGCACTTGGACTGAAGCAAGATATAAGTATTTTATATCCTAGTGAGATTCTCCCCGAGCCACTTAGACTTTCTCTAAACGTAAAACACTCTGAAAATGATGGATTAAGTCGATAACTAAATTTCATTATATTACTTATAAATATTAATTTAAAAAAATGAGAGAATTATTTTACAAACAACTCGAAGCAATATATTTTAATTTTTAATTTAAACAAAGATATTGCTTTTCTTAGCATTCCAAAAAGTCACTATGTTACAACTTAGTGTTATTATTTTTTCTGTGATTCTTATCAGATTTATGATGAACTCCAAGAGAAGTGACAGGCAATAGGCTCTTCTCTCTCTCTCTCTCTCTCTCTCTCTAGCCATAAGCAACTGCATAAAATGATCGATGAGGGGAATTTTTTCCCCTAATTCTTAGGTTTTTATTAGAAAATTTTAGTGAGCCTACTTTTGGGGATTTCTCTTCTGAGGAAGAAAAATCACCAGTACGTACATCTTTCCAAAAAGAAGATTCACCAATGTCCCCCCAAAGATTTGTTGTTTGGTCAATTTGCAATAGAATCAAGAACACATGCTCCATCAGCTTGTGGAACACATTAAAGTGTTGTCATTCCAAGAAAAAGTTCCCTTTTATCGTATCAGATGCTGACATGCTTGATGATTCCTGAGACTAGAGAACAAGAGAGGCACACATCATCAACCTTTGCGAGCTCCCTATTCACTTTCAATTCATACACATGCTGGTTTTCTACTCTTCTCCACATGATATCAAAGATAATTTAAGATGTAATTCAAAGTCATAATTTTGTCGGAAGCTAAATTAGGAGTTTGATTAATCATTGAAAGCACCGGTGGCATATCGATGGCGATAAATAATTAGTGTTTCTCGATAAGCATCTTTAATTTCGCAACGAGTCAAATAATTTCTCATGAATCCACATATCAGATGATAAACGAAGATCGTTCCTTAATCAAATTAATTAGGAAGATATTTAACTATTAAACTTTTAATATTATAATATTATTATAATATAATATTTAAGTTCTAATTTCTTTTTAGTTGATTAAAGGAAAGCAAATAACCTCCTCATTAACAAAACCCTCCCACATAAACTCACATGTATCCCTACATATGCTTCTTTATTGCTTTTGGCTTAAATTAATAGAAAGAAAAATATCGGCCTTTCGCCCCTGCGTTTTGTCCTCCTAATATTGCCGTGCAGTGCATCCCCTCCCACCCACTTGCCCACAAGACAACACCGGAGATGTTTACCGAAGAACGGACGTCAGATATGGATGTGGAATCGCCATCACACCACTCTGACAAAGCTCGCCCTCATACTATATATCATGCTTAGCTCGCCCTCATGTCTCTGTGGGAAGACATGGAGGAAGCTGCCGAAGCCTGTCGGTCTCGCTTCTCCCTCCTCTTCTTCTCCTTGGCGGCCGTCGTCGTGCTCCTCGCGATGGTGCTCAGGGTCCTGAGGTCCATGCCGTGGTGGTGCAGCTGCCCGGTGTGCGAGGCGTACGTGACCAACTCCTGGGCCGCACGCTTCGACAACCTCTGCGACTGGTACGCCCACCTCCTCCGGGAGTCGCCCACCCGCACCATCCACATCCACGTGCTCCGCAACACCGTCACCGCCAACCCTGACAACGTCGAGCACATGCTCAGGGCCCGCTTCGACAACTACCCCAAGGGCAAGCCCTTCTCCGCCATCCTCGGCGACCTGCTCGGCCGCGGCATCTTCAACGTCGACGGCGACCCCTGGTGCTTCCAGCGCAAGATGGCCAGCGCTGAGCTCGGCGGGGCCTCCGTCCGCTTTTTTGCCTCCTGCGCCGTGGCCTCCGAGGTCCGCGGCCGCCTCCTCCCTCTCCTCGACGTCGCGTGCGGCGGTGGCCGCGTCCTCGACCTGCAAGATGTGTTCCGTAGGTTCGCCTTCGATAGCATGTGCAAGATCTCGTTCGGGCTCGACCCCGGTTGCCTCGAGCTGTCGCTGCCGATGTCCGACTTCGCGGCGGCCTTCGACAAGGCCTCGAGGCTGTCAGCCTGGCGGGCGACCGCGACGATGCCCCTGGTATGGAAGGCCAAGCGGCTCCTCAACTGGGGATCGGAGAGAGAACTGGGGGATGCGATCGGCCTGGTGAACCTCCTCGCCAAGGAGCTCATTCGCCAGCGAAGGAAGCTGGGGTTCTCCTCCAACCACGATCTCCTCTCTCGATTCATGGCCTGCGTCGACGACGACGACGACAAGTACCTTCGAGACATCATAATTAGCTTCTTGCTGGCCGGGCGCGACACCGTCGCCTCGGCCCTGACCTGCTTCTTCTTCCTGCTGTCCCGCCACCCGGACGTCCGCTCCGCCATCCGCGACGAGATCGACCGCGTCGTGGAACGCGACGCGGTCACCGCCAGCTACGATCAACTGAGGGACCTGCAGTACGTGCATGCGGCCATCTACGAGAGCATGCGGCTGTACCCGCCGGTGCAGTTCGACTCCAAGTTCTGCCTCGAGGACGACGTCCTCCCCGACGGGACCGCCGTCAGAAGGGGAACGCGGGTGACGTACCACGCCTACGCCATGGGGAGGATGGAGGAGCTGTGGGGGAGCGACTGCAGCGAGTTCCGGCCGGAGCGGTGGCTGAGGAACGGAGCGTTCAACCCCGAAAGCCCGTACAAGTACCCCGTGTTCCAAGGCGGCGTCCGGGTGTGCCTCGGCAAGGAGATGGCGCTGATGGAGATGAAGACCGTGATCACGGCGGTGGTCCGGCAATTCGACGTCGAAGTAATCTCAGCCGACGAAGGCGGAGGCGGAAACCGGCCGCCCAAGTTCGCGACCGGCCTCACCGCCTCTCTGAAGGGGGGCCTTCCGGTCCGAGTTCGCCGGAGGGTGGAAAGCTCGGCCGAGCCACGTCGCGGCGCATGTTAGGCGCAGCGCGGTGGGGCATGCTAAAGAGCGCCGTATCGTGTGAGTAAGTACCCTGTGATGAGGTCAGGTCAACCCATGTATAGAATTAAGCACGTGGTGGTATATATATGTTACTGATGTCCGTGCTGGCCTGCGTTGTAATGTGACATGTGATTGCCGGCCACCAAGTGGTGCCTCAAAAAGAGTACCTATTTTATTTAGATTTTGACATTATTCTTCCTTTTTATTATTTATAATTCACAAAATGTGAAAAATAGCAAATATTAGGTGAAGATCAAATTATGCATTTTATATTGGCACGCCAATGAGTAATTAAAGGATGATTTTTTTTATTTTTCTAAATAGAACATTTTTTAAAAAATAAGTATTTAATTTTTATATAATATTATAATATTTTTAATAATATTAGATAAACAGGAACATAATGTGAAAATATTGCAACCAAATATCAACTAATCCTTTTCATCTAAATATTCATTTAGAATTAGACCAACCCAAACCTGTAGGGGTCATTGCTAAGCCCGGCCCATGATTGCTAAACTTTTTTCCTAAAATACCCCTCATCAATTTATTTTTTGCTAAATTTTACAACTACGTTTTTCATCCATTTTGAACTATTATCATAATTTCATTTGGCTCATTTATAGTGTCATTCAATAGTGTGAGGTACTAAAAATATCATAAATATTATTAAAAAATATAATAAGTGATATCATACTGTGTCTCTTTAGTTGTTATTGCTAGTAGACTATTATAATATCGTATTTTTAAGCTTATAAGTAGTCGGTTGAGGTTAGGAGTCTGTTATTTACAATGTTTTTAAATAGGTCTTATAGTGTTTTTATTTAGTGAACAAAATACTCAATAATTTTTTTTTATTTTTTATTAGATAATATTATTTTTTAAATTATTATAAGTATATATTTGAATCGTAATATATCGAATGATTTCTAGTGCATTTTGATTCAATTTGCCTCGATTAGTGTTTTCAAATTGACTTCGATGTGTTTTGATATTACAATGATCAAAATATTATAGCATGTCTAAAATATTATAATGGGTAAGAAAAGTATAATCAAAATTTTCAAGTGTTTTTTGATATATTTTAAATTAAAGAGATTTTATTTAAAAAATAATCTCAAAATGAGAATCTTTTATAGAATCTCACCTGATTCGAATCAAACTGCTAAATCTTTTTGATAGTTGGTAGGTACAACTACCGGTTATATTACTACTATTTCATGAACATGTTAGGTCGGGTAGATGACAAGAATTGCCATCTTTAAAGATGATGATGATGATGATGATACAACCAATCATACATTACTCAAAAATATTAATATAATGATTCAATCGAATCAAATTTCAACATCCTCGAGGAATAAGTGAATTATAATACGCACTACCGGCGATCTATGTTTCAAAAGAGTAACAAAATTGCACTCTTTTTCCTTTCAAATTCTGTGCCTTTTATATTCATACCTCAAATTTTGATTTTAATATATATATATATATATATACCTTATCATATCGTTATAAATTAATTACCATTAGTTGACTATCAATTAAGACTTTTTTTTGAATAATTTAATATTTGGAAGAAAAATATATGCTATATTAAAATTGGTAAATCAAAAGTGCTATTTCGAAGTTTGCCACGTGGAAAGCCATATAAAACATCGAATGGTGTCTCTTTCTTTCCTGAATGGTGGGATAGCTGAGACACAGGATCTGAACTACGAATCCCGTATGAAGTTTTGTGGCAGTGTTCCGACAGAAGCAGTCCATCCACCGAACTGTAAGGAGTCCGAACCGAAGAAGCCCAGCTTCCGACCCGAAGCGTTCTGCTATGGGTCACGAGGCGACCGGCTTCAGGCCGCCGACGGCGGCCAGGGACCGCCCCGACGCTGGCGCCGCGGCCCCTCGCTCCCGCATCCCCCGCCGCCGCCAGATACGCAAGACCTTCAACAACCTCAAGGTCACCATTCTCTGCGGCGTCGTCACCATCCTCGTCCTCCGCGGCACTGTCGGTATCGGCAACCTCGCCGGCTCCGGCGGTGACGCCTTCGCCGCCGACCAGAGGGTCGTCGAGGACATCGACCGCATCCTCCGCGAGATACGCTCCGATTCCGACCCCGACGACGAGGACCAGATCCACTCCGGCTTCAATTCCACCACCGCTACCGCCCTCAACTACACCTCCTCTGACGCCCTCTTTGCCGCTGCCGCCGCTAACTACACCCTCGGCCCCAAGATATTCGACTGGGACGTGCAGCGGCGGCGGTGGCTGGCGGAGAACAGGGGGTTCCCGAGCCAAACCCCAGCCGGAAAGCCGCGGATCATCCTCGTCACCGGATCGCCGCCCAACCCCTGCGACAATCCAATCGGCGACCACTACCTCTTGAAGGGGACCAAGAACAAGATCGACTACTGCCGCCTCCACGGGATCGAGATCGTCTACAACATGGCACACCTCGACCGGGAGCTCGCCGGGTACTGGGCCAAGCTCCCGCTGATCCGGCGGCTGATGCTGTCGCACCCGGAGGTGGAGTGGATCTGGTGGATGGACAGCGATGCGCTCTTCACCGACATGGCCTTCGAGATCCCTCTCGACCGCTACGCCGCTCACAACCTCGTCGTCCATGGCTACCCTGATCTCATTTTCGAGAAGCATTCCTGGATCGGCCTCAACACCGGAAGCTTCTTGCTGCGGAATTGCCAGTGGAGTCTCGACTTGCTCGATGCCTGGGCGCCAATGGGACCTAAAGGCCCAATTCGCGACGAGGCCGGCAAGATGCTCACGGCAAACCTGAAGGGCCGGCCGGCATTCGAGGCGGACGATCAATCGGCGCTCATTTACTTGCTATTGTCGCAGCAGGATCGGTGGGGCGACAAGATCTATATCGAGAATTCATATTACTTGCACGGATATTGGGCTGGGTTGGTGGATAGGTATGAGGAGATGATGGAGAAGTATCATCCAGGCTTAGGGGACGAGAGGTGGCCATTCGTGACGCACTTTGTTGGCTGTAAGCCATGTGGTAGCTATGGGGACTATCCTGTGAAGAGGTGCTTGAGAAGCATGGAGAGAGCTTTCAATTTTGCGGACAACCAGGTGTTGAGGATGTACGGGTTTGCGCATGGGAATCTGGCCAGCCCCAAGATTAGGAGGACCGAGAAGCAAACGGCGAAGCCATTGGAGTTCTTGGATCAGCTCAATCTTGAAGCCAGGGTAGAAACCAGAGGGTGAGGAAGGCCATCTATATAATCCTTGTGCCGCAAAATCTCAGGTCAGCTTTGCTTTCTGTTATTTCATTTGATGATGTTTAACATGCTGTAATATAAGTTTTAAGCTTTTAGATTTCTTGTTTGTTTAGGGTTTTTATGTAGGAAGGAATATGGACAGCAAGGGATTATTTTGTAACACCTTCAAATGTTTTCTCTTACATTCTGTGTAATGATGATCAACATGTTCCAATGACTATCTTTTGAACAGGATTAAAACTTTAAAGGATGTAACTCATTTTTTTTGTTGTGTTTATTAGAGAAAGATGACAGAGAAACCCTTGTGGCTGATAACATGAGAAATTTACGAGAAACAGAGGAAGCACCATTTCTTATAGATCTCTTCATGTCAGAAGGCCATCTTAATTTTGCAGTAGAATCCCTATCCTTAGCTTTTTGACTCGGTAAACAATATTAGCTGGTGAAGAACTGAGAATTTCGGAAAAGGAACCTAACTTATGTGTCAAGAAAAATGATCCTCTTGAGCACCTTCGTCGTCCAATTTTTGGACTTCTTTTCTTCTATGAGCTCAGACTATTACACTTCTTTTGCAGAATATTACATATGAAATCACTTGTTTTACTTATCAAGATGTTTGTGGCTTTCTACTTAAGCTAGTTTCTTCCATCTACATTCATTGCGAGTCTGTGAGAGATTACATAACATAAACAATATAGCCTTACAGCTTTCTCAAACAATGCTTATAGTGCTTCGGGGATCACAACTTACTATACCTATAAAGGTTTGTAGAATTTGAGTGTCATGATTGGATGCAACTTACCTACTAATCCAATTATATGGATAGAATAGGCCTTAAATCACATGATCTAAAATGGTTTAGACGATCACTTGTAGGCCACTCTAATCTCGTAGACCAATTTGATATATCATTATTTTCCAATGTGGGATCACAAAATCACCACCAATCTTTGCCACTCAATGGTCTGACATCTTCGTTAGGGTCCACAATCCAAAATCATTCCCCAGTGGCACTGCAATAATAACTTCATAAGGTAGGCAATGGCTATTGTCCCGCTAATCAACAAATCCATAGTTCTAACATCACCCTACTACATTTTGTCACTAGCTAATCAATAAGATCTACTAGTCCAATATTTTTCAGTAAAACAAGAGTTTACCATGTCATCTAGATGCCTAACTCGAAATTACTTGTAATAAAGCCACGAAGCCCTATCCACCGGTCCGATCCATCATTTTCTGAAGTGAAATTATTATCATTATGTTAATGCTACTACTTCCACCTAGTTGTCGTTTATCATTACCCATCATTTTGTCTTCCTCTATCATTTTTATTGGGAATCTACTGAAATAATTTTTTGGGATTAATGAATCACATAGAAGAAGGATACATTTTTTTTATTTTCTTCATTTCCTTCTTTTTAAATTTTTATTGACACCTATATTGCTCATGCCTCATTTGGGAACTTCTTAGATTCATTCTGCAAACTCATTTTGAGTGCAACTACCAAGGGTGAAACTTTTGCCCTTTCTGACTTGATGAATTGGGTGATTTTTCTATCTTATTGAAACTACCAAGGTATTATTTCATTTATTAACACAAACAGTGTTGGTTACCTTTGATCTTGGTTACCTTTGATCTTACTCAAATTACTCCATCTTCCATCTCTTTGCATGCTACTGTGTGCTTTTCTTGGCAGTAGTGGATTGAAATTGCAGTATGGGAGTTCAAGCATTAATCTTCTCTGATGGTGGATATTCAGATGCTTCTAAAGGTATGTTGTGTTTGTTTAACACACAACAATAGGACTTCTGATGTTTTGCAATTCTATTTACAAATTAATTAGTCCGAGTAATTTTGTTTTATCTACTTGGAAATTTTAAGATGCTTTATTTCCCCAGTACATCAAGCTGTGAGCAGTAGACATTGATTTACTAAGCTTGAGCTATTTGTACCTCTCTAAATGATATTTACATGTTTAAAATTAATCAAAAAATTCCACAAAGATTGTTGAATGCTTCATATTTGTCAATAAAATAGTTATATCTATGTTCAATGACTTGGCTGATTTCTGGTCCTTCATTTATTATGTTTATGGCAACTCATCCAATACAGTTTTGCTAAGGACTATTGACCACCTATTTTTACATGATGCTGGTTTGCATGACCTCCACTCTTCCTTATTCATATAAATTCTTTTATGGGCCTTGCCACTTATCCATATAACCTACCCATCCGTTACCATTTATTACTTCTCTTGAAGTTTGGTGTTCTCTATTAGGTTTGTCGTATCAAACAAATGATGAAAATGTGGTGTCTCCTACAGTGCTTCTTTCTCGCTCTTGAATGGAGAAGTACCATATGACAGCCACTGAGGAGAACAAAGATTTGAGTGCAAAAATCACCCACCATTTTTCAGTCTTAAAGAATGGCAAGGTCCGTACTCTATAAATCACCTAGATTTCTCTTTTTTCCTTTCATTTATCATCACCATTTTTGGGTCATTTTGATCATCCTTCTCTTGATGAATAAAATATTAGTCTTATGCACCATAGCACACTTCTCAAAATAATAAATTGCTCTATTTTTGTTGGCAATTGCATCGCTTATCAGATCTTTAAACACTATCTGATATAGATGGTTTCAGAATTCACACGATATGAAAAAGTTTACTAAAAAATCTCATACTATTTATTATTCAGAAAAGATGAGATTTGACCATTTTTATTAAAGATTATGTTTCCTGTAAAAAAATACTCTATGCTCACAAACTGTTACAGTTTGAACTGTCCTTGACAAATCCTCTACTTTGATTCTTTTGCATGATTAGCTTTAGCTTTAAGCATTACATGATTCAGATTTTGAGATAATATCTGTGCAGTAATATTACTAGAATACAGCTTTAGAAGGTCTACCAGCATGCTGAATACAGTAATAAATAACTTAATTTAGCCATGGGCAATCGGTTAACTGCGTATTTCCATAAAGCTCACAGTAAGAAAGGTTAGACTTGCTGAGGAAATCCCCTGTCTGTGTTCTATCTCTGCTAAAATTATTTTTAGTCCATTTTAGGATTATGTTCGTCAAACTTAATCATGCTATGGCCCTATTACTTGGATAATGCTGCACTGTTTACTTCTCGGGATGCATTTTGATGTATGAATCTCATCTGTATATTCATGTATGTTGTATAACGTAACAGATTTAACGCAATCCTATTCACGTCTACAGGTTTTATGCTACGGTGATTCTCGCTGTTGACTGTGTTTGGTGAATTGTTGGACAAAAGCCTCCGACTGGAAAATATTCTACATCGAGAAGATGGCCGGCAAATGCTGTCTGACAACTACATCTAATACTTATCGAACCTTTGAGGCCCTAATGCAATGAAATGTTCTTCCTTCAGTTATCAGTTGCCTTCAAATTTCATGTTGATGCTCATCTGGCACTTCTCTTGACATGGTGGGAATCTGGTAGCTGATACTCGGACTATCTTATCTTCTTGACATACCACTGCAGCTTGCATGACACTAATGGATATTCCATTCTTTTTGTCATGAGATTATTGAATGATCTTATTGAAGAGGCAAATTTCTTACCAAAGGTACTGAATTAATACAGTTCATCAGTAATGGAGCACACCAAGTTTGATTGTAGTGATTCATTGCATTCTTCGCTCCGTATATATTTTTTATTTTCATATTATCTTTTGATTGAAGAAATATTTATCCCAGTTGTTATTTGACATCAACTTAATACAAGATATTGGAAGGATATTTCATCGGTATTGTAGAATATTTTCTCGAGTTAAACTCATTATAGAAGAACTTGTCGAGTCAGATAGATTCAATCATCACTGATATCAATCAATCACATCCATTATGCATGAAAAAAATTATCAGATAAATTAGGTGTGTATTTTATTTTTTATTAATTATTTGATAGCAAACTTGATTTGAATATTTATAATTATGTACATAATTAAGAATATCCTAATTCGATCTAAATACGTATATACCATTCAAAGGATAAGCCGATCGAGCGACTACAAGCCACAGCCGTATCAGCCACTTACCGCAGCGCTCCATCTTCTTGCCTTCGTGACAAGTCTCCCATCCCAAATCGCTCCCCAGACGTAAACGAGAAGCTCCACCATGCGTTGCCAAGCCGCAGCGACCTCCTTCGCCCCAAATTTACCATTCTGCCACCCCGTCGAATCCCCCTCTCGTCGCTTCAGTAGCTTCCATTTTCGACGGCCAAACCCCCTTTCTTCTGCAAATCTTTACCTCCTCCGATCTCCTTTGTCTCCCCGTCTCGCACACGGTCGACCCGTCCGGTTATCCTCCGCGGTCGCGTCCATGGCAGAGACGAGGCCCTTTTCCGTCCTCTTCGTTTGCCTCGGTGCTCTTTCTAGACCGATCTTTATTCTACTGTCATCGGTGTCTCACTCCTGGATGGTCTTTTCACAGGGAACATCTGCCGTAGCCCCGCCGCGGAGGCTGTGTTCACCGATAGCGTGCGGAAGCGTGGAGCGGAGTCCAAGTTCAAGATCGACTCCGCCGGCACCATCGGTTACCATGAGGTACTCTTCCATCTTAAAAATTGGAACTTGTGAGAGAAAGAGGAATTGTAATATTGGATTTGCGGTGTGGAAGGGGGACCCGGCGGATTCCCGGATGAGGTCTGCGGCGAAGAGGCGGGGGATCGAGGTCACCTCCATCTCGAGGCCGTTAAGACCCTCGGATTTCAGGGAGTTCGATCTCATATTGGCCATGGACATGCAAAATAGAGGTGCGGTTTGCTGTTCTGTCACTCTTCGTGTTCTTAACTATTACACGATAGAAACATTCATTCGAATTCCAGTAAGTTGCTGATTCTGAAATCAATTCACTACTGATATTTTAGAGGACATAATGAGTGCTTATGAGAGATGGAGATTTAAAGAGCCTCTTCCAGAGGATGCTCCGAAGAAGGTTAGTTTCCTTTAGGTATGTTTGTTCGTCTAATGCATTGGAAGATAGGTCATTTTGCTGTCTCATTTTGTGCATTTAATGGGCCCTGTTTCTGCTCTCTAAGGTAGTAGATAGTTGGTGAAATATGCCATGATTTTGGAAAGCCAAGATAAGAATTGTTGGACCTGTGTGGAGTGATTATAAAAAAGAGAGTTGTTTTATGCAACTGTTCTTAAGACTGTCTTTTTACAACAATATTTGCTTGCTCTCAATATCAAAACAAGGCCTTAGATTGTTTAGAGAGAGGTGTAGCCACTCCTGAACCAAATGGTAGACTTATGGGATCCAACTGTGACTCTGATCTCCACACCCACCAGCTGCAATGGAGGGGCAGAGAGGGTGGAGGAGACATCCAGTACAGCGAGAAATTTACCGGAGTGGAGGCCTATGATCAGTAAAGGAGGGAGAAGAAGCAATCACTAAAGTCCTTGACCAATGAGATAGAACACTTTTGCAAAGTCTGAAAATATCTATAATTATTTCTTAGCTTTAGTTGTCAAAATCTACTTCTGAGATTCTGTCTTCAGAGACTAAAATTAGAAAACGTCACAATTGTCTGTTTTGAAATGTAGAAGACTGTTTTCATGAACACAACCAGAAAGCCCCCTTGTTTATTCTTTTCTTTGATAATGAAGCTTTCTCACTCCATATAAATTAAACAAAAATATATTGTTCTTTTCCCCTTTTATATGATTAGTCCCATCTTTAGTTTTTCACTTTCTTATTCCAGGTTTTAGGGATGACTTGTGGCTTATTGTTTACTGCCTGTCAATTAAAAATTCATTTCAAATTTTAAAAAAATTGAAATTGAGTGGTTTGTAAAGCTGGAGGCACAAGAATGAGAGGGCAATTTATGGATTTGGTTTTCTTGTATACTCTACAACTTTTTTAGAAGAATTAGACTAATATGTGGAAGTACTACTGCAGGCTCTTTGTACATTGACATACATGCAATGGTGAAATAGATACAAAGTAATCCAACCTGCTTCCCTTTCATGAACATTGCATCAACGATCTGGATATTGATGGGCAGAGCAGAAAATAATTCCATTCCGAAAATTGAATTTAACTAGCACTGTCTTGGATGATATTGGAGCCATCACTTAATATTGGTTGTGCATATAACCAGATGCCAATCATGCCAATGAGCATCTACTATGTCAGAAACTTAGTGCTTTATCTAAGCTGGAACTAGCATGAATAGACGATGAAGATTAACTTAGCACAAAGTTCTATGCCGTGGTTGCTTAATTATCTTTGGTGGAAATGGTTTTGCCTTACCTTGGTTGAAGAGACATGCAATCTGTGCACAACCTCAGTAGGACAAACATTTAATTTTCTTCATAGAACATGTTTGTCAGTTGTCATTGTTTGGCTGTGTAGCCAAATGTATTTACTCCAGTAATTTTTTTGTCATTTTTTCACTTTTCAGGTTAAGCTTATGTGCTCCTATTGTAAGAAACACAGTGAAGCTGAAGTGCCAGATCCTTACTATGGAGGGCCACAAGGTTTTGAAAAGGTAATTGAGAAAATCACTGCTAAATTAATGTCAATAATATCATGTTAAACATCATTTTGGAGTCAATTTGTGATTTTATATTCGACAATTCTTTATTAACCCTTAGTAAGCATCATTGCACTATAAGGTCAATCATAGTTGGAGAAAGAAAAAATAAATTACAAGAGACTGCCATTTGTATCTCCTCCTGGCATCTTCTTTTAAGTCCAGCTTTTATACATTAAAATTGCCTTTTGTCATTACAAGGAAATGCTATTTGTTGCCTAATACTGTGTTGCAGTTATGGACCTTTAATTCCAATTCACATATAAAATATGTTAAGCGAAGCTGTTTATTTTTTGTAAATTCTTGAATAGAATCTTATGCTCATTTTTTTATTATATAATCGACCCACATTTTTTTTTATATTACTTATGCTCTACCTTGTGGTGTCTTCAGGTTCTAGATCTGCTAGAAGATGCTTGTGGATCGTTACTAGACAGCATCATAACAGAGACCGGTCAGACTTCAAATCAATAGTCTTTCAAGGGACAGAGATGAGGAATTCCACCGCACATGATAAATATCTCGGAGCACATATATTATATCATTCATTTACTTCATTGGGTGAGGAATTACTTTCGTTCCTCCTTAATTATGATTCATTAAAGTTACAGATCTATGATTTGTTAAGCACAGTGACATATAAGATTGATAGAATTGTGTGTATGAACAATTATACATTTGTGCATGGAATTTCTGCTCGATATTTTTGGTTGCCGTCTAGACATTGTTTGTATCATATAACAGAGCTAATTATTTGTTTGTCCCATAGCTAATTATGTATTATCTCATAATTATCTTATGTAATTAGTTATCTGTACATCTTTATAATTTAAAAAGTTATAATATTGATATTTTCATAATTACAAAAGTGAATCATTTATATTCATTTGTCCTGACGTCGTCGGTTTTATTAATAAAAATATTAAAATAAATAATAAAAAAATAATTTTAATGTTTCAGTTGATGATGACGGAAGACATCAATGGTACGAATAATAATGTCATTAGGGGTCATGGGTGACCTGTGGATGATGAGAGCGATAACGAGAGGTGAAGATCGTTATATATTCACGTCGATTTCAATACAGTTGCTGAGTAGTAAAAGGGTCGCCAATGCCGATATCGCTAGGCAATTGTATCGATGCAAATGCAAAACAATGTTGCTCGGCATATGCATCGATAACCCTTTCGTTGCTCGACAATTGCACCGATATCAACGTAGATACAAAGCAGCGAAAGGATCGCTCAACAATTGCATTAGCATCAATGCAAATATAGAGCATCTCTCATCTTTTATCGTTACTCTCTTTATTCATAACAGTCATCCGTGGCTCCTAGCGATATTGTCCACCGTCATTAATTGAAATATTAAACTTATTTGTTTTCGTATTTCTATTAGTAAAATCAATAATGTTAAGATAAATGGATCTAGATGTTTCATTTTCATAATTATATGAAGGATAATATAATTTTTTAAAGTATAAAAATTAAAATACTAAATGTTGCTAAGTAGGTGCGTAGATACTAAATGTTGATATTTGTTACACGTTGATAATGGTAGGGTGCGTAGATATTAAAAAGAGAAGAAAAAAATGAATTGACACGTTAAGTTATTGGGTCAATAGGGTAGGAGTGTAGGAGCGTGGAAAAGAGAAAAAAAAATCAAAATTAGAGGGGATTATAAATATTAAAATATTATTTTATCAATTTTTAAAGAGATTATGAATAGTAAAAAATAAAAGTTGTCAATAGGGTTCTAAATAAAATAGTAAGCTGCTTAATAATTGACACGGTAAGTTATTGGGTCGGTAAGCCAATTTTATTGTATCATTACGCAATGAATTCAACAAAAGAATCGTCATAAACGGCTGAAAATTATTAAAGCACGTGAACCGATTGGCCACGTTGCCCATTCTCGAACCAATTCAAGGGAAGTCGGGCCACGTGAACCGAAAAGAGCCAACGTACGAACTCGAGCGGCTTAGTTCGACCAGATCGAACAGGATTTCCGGTTCGATCTAACGGGTGGAAATAAAGCGGTTGCGGGTCGCGCTCTCAAGATCTCCCGGATGCGGGTAATTTATGCGCTTAGTGGCGCGCGGCCTGGGTTTCCCCGGTTCAAGAAGCCACTCGGCGACTGTCGTCGGCCCTGCCGATCCCACCGTCCGCTGCCTATAGGAGGCGGCCTCTGCGCCCAGGTGGAGGAGGCGGCACACGATACCCGTAGGTCCGAATCCTCTTCGCTCCTATCATCTCCTCTACAAACGTCGACGGACGCTGCACCCTTGCCCTAGCCCTAGGTTTATTCTCACTGATATTGATGTAAATCATTAAGTAGTGGAGACGCACTATGCAACATGTTGATTGAATTGCTTTGTCTTGCTTTAATGGAGTGAGTATATGCAAGAGATCATGTTAGCACTCGATATGGAATGGTGAAGTGTCACTCATAGGTTTGTCTTTCAACCATGTAGGTTTCTTGTAGATTCATTTGAAGAAGATTCGAGGAATTAAAACAGGTGTAACCAGATAAGACCGGCGCAGATTGTGGGAAACACAATTAACTATTTCCTTGATTTTTCAACCTATATTTCGAAGAAATTATAGTGGAAACTTGGGTTTGCCATTAAGGGTTTAATATTTGTATCCTATACTTTCTTTAGACAATCAGCATTAGCAAGAATTAGTTTTTGTTTAGGTCTGGTAGTACTGGAGACCTTTTTTATTCATAATTAATTTGTTAAGCATACTTTTTGTCTTGCTTCATGGAGTGAACATATGCAGAATATCATCCTTCACACTTTGACTAGTTAAATATTTTATGATAAGATAGTTATTACTCATTGCTGCAGGGAATCACTTGAATACTTTTTTAGTGCAGAATCTCAAGATCATGCATGTATTTTTTGTTCTTGTTATTTCTATGTATTGATTGTGAAATATTTCATGATTGTTTGCTGCAACCAACGTACAGTACTAAAGTTTTTTTCCCAAGGAGTGGCATCTCGATATAGTGCTGTCTTCTTGGATACTTTTCGATAAAGGATGCACATTTATTTTTGAAAGTCATGACATATGCTTTGCTAATATCTTACAGAATATGTTTCTTTGATTTCAGCTCACTGGTTGCCATTTGATTTTTAGGGAGATTGGATTCTTATCACCAGATGTATACCTAAACTAAAGACCAACCATGTTAAATATCCACAAGGGTGGGAGCTTACTGAGCCCACTCTTTGAGAACTTGAGGCAAAGATGAGAAAAGGTTATTTGTCCTCATTGTTTTGGTTACTCTTTTTTTACCTTCTATATGTGCTGAATGTACATTTAAGATTCAATTTTGTCTTATTTATGAAATCCACATGCATTTGTACCTGAAAATGATCCTCAAGATGGGAACAGAAAGTGTAAAAGCACCTTCGTCTATTTTTTGTTTGGCTCATCCAAAGAAAATTACGTATACAACCTTTATCATCAGAGGAAGGAAATTTCCAAGGAATTGCATCAATTCTGTCTGGATCAGGGCCATGCAGACCATAATCTGATTGTAAAGGGGGAAAAGGTTGGTGTTGCTTCACTTATGCAGATCGTAATCTGTTTGTTTATTTATTTATTTGCCTTTGTTGTTCTTTCTGGTTCATAGTGCCGTCACTTTTACCTTCGTTTATATGCTTTGGGTTTTGATTAGTTAATCTTGAAATGTGTTTTCTCCTAAAATTGTCTTTGTATTGAGTTTGTGCAGCCAGGTAATGAACACCTTGCTGGCTGACATGCATGCAGACATGAGTTCACAATTCTGCAACCACTTGCGTATGGGATCCCTAAACACCTGAGGAAAGAAAAGGTGATAGAAATGTCGACTGTGGTTACAGGGGCTGTCCAAGTGAAGATTAAATCCTTTGTGAAATACACAAATAATTCAAGATGTGCTGACATACTTTGATCCAAATTTCTTGCAAGCTTTAGCCTTTAGGTATGTAGTACAACTTGTATAAACTGCACATACCTTGGCATTTGTGTGTAACAATGTCTAAGTGGATGCTATATGTTTTATGCACATTCTGAGACAAGAGCCAGTCCCTTGCAACTTGGTAGCAAATTTGATGGGGCTTAAATCATTCGCCATGTGCTAGGTTCACCTTGACTGTCATCACTGCTAGCCTTTGATGGTTCATTCGCGTCAGCATTTCGATGACTTGGATTTAAGAATCTGTTGGCTCTCATCACACCTCAACTACCGAGTTGCTGGTATCCTATCTAGTCTCGTCTACTGCTTCTGGAACGTTGTTGGCACCCTTTTTTGTGATTACATGACTGAGATACATGATTCCTTGACAACTCTACTATTAATGCTAATGTTATCTTGATTGCACATTTTGCAGCAAATTCCAGTATGATGGTGGTACTCTAGAGCAGACCTGTACTTGGATGATATCTGGTGTTGTGGTATCACAGCCTAAAGGCTAAGCATTTCTTGGAAGACTACCTTGGTTTTGAGCATAGCATCCTTGGTTATGTGGCTCTGGCTCACTTGGGTTTGTCCTTGCTTCTTCTTTGCTATTGGTCTATTCTATCAAATACCTCAACTTGCGAAAACCACAGGCAAGTTATTCTAAATCTTGCTCGGCAATAATGTTTTTTTTTTCTTTTTATCCCTTGGACAAGAAACAAATAGTGACAATATCTGGAGAAAATCCTCAGTTTTCTCTGGTGACAAATTAAGACCTTGCTAGTTTTGCAGCTTGGTATCCTGTCTTCAGAACTATGCTACTGCCTTCTTGATGTATCTTCCACCATTATATTCTATGAAACCAACCCTAGTTATTTATAAAATGGTTGTCTTTCTTGCAAACCGATCCTTTCTTCCTTTCTGGATTTCCAATTGGTTGTACTATGACATGATATGATGGACACCATGTGACATTTTAGCTTGTATGTATGTCCTTTATGATTATTACTTGTTCAAGTATGTTAAAGAGTGTCTAATGCTACTCTGACAAATTGCAACGATTTTTCACCTTTATAGTTTTCAAATCAATCTTTATATTTAGAAATATTGATGTCGTGACCATTTTATACAGAAACTGCAAATTCTCTGATACATTAGAGCAGAGCTAATTGAAATATGCAACATATGGATTTTGTGCTCTCTTCTCTGATGTTACAAATGCTCTGATGGTTGTTTTTTCATTTTCATGAAATGTTTGGATGATTTCAGACTCATGGAAAATGAAGAATTAACATGGTTGATTAATAGTTAAGATTATGGATTATACATTTTTTTTATATGCCCAGTCATTTTCCTCTTCTCTCATATATTCCTAGTCCACAGTGTCCAAAATCCTGTCCACGATCCACAGCCACCAGAAATTAAAATGATACTCTCTTCATTAGGAGTAACAAATGGTACTGAAAATATTGCCTTCGGAGTAACTACTCTCCACCCCGGTTGAGCCTTGGTAGGGTCGGAGGGTAGTTTGACATCTTAAGGTAGCTCCTAAGATTAAAATTTTTCTTTGAATCTTTTATTGGAATCGTCTCCCTACCTCTTCCTTTGTTTCAAACATCGTCCACTGTTGTTAGCAAGATGCTTGTTATGCTGCCATCTTTTTTCAGACTCACTTGTCCATATTTTTTTTCGGTTGCTGCTTTGCCCAGTCATTTTGGAATTCACTTCAACAAACGTTCAACTTCCAATTTCAAATCCTTCCTAGCTGCTATAGAGGGGATTGGATTGAGGAAGGCAGATCCTTGGATAACTCCTCCTGCACTTCACTACTTAGCACTATTGCTGCCTGTTTTTTATTCTTATGAAACAATTGCAATGATATCAAATATTGCAGCCATGCTACCAGGCCTACCTCCCTTATCAGGAGAGTTCTAACTATTGTCAATTATCTTTTGAATTGCAGCCTATCTGAGGGCTTGGTTGAAGCAACAAATGATTACCCTTGAGGGGGCAAGGTAGGGTCTTGAATTTGATTGCCCTTGTGCCCCTGCAGGTTCAGGCTTGCTCATCAAGGATGCTGGAAATGTCCCTCTATGTTTGGGAAGTGGCTGTGGTAGAGCTATCAATCCTTCTCCCTAAAGCAGCTAATCAAGTACACTTTTCCTCCTTCCAAATCTTTTGCAAATTTTGTAAAGGGAATTTCGCCAATTCCTTGGTGTTTTAGGAACTCTTTTCAACATATTTTCTCTATTCTTGTTGACATTTGCTACATCCCTAGTGCTGGTAATTTTATTAGCCGACCATTGGAGGTCCCAAGGTTTTCTTTTTTTTTTTTATGCCGTTGCTGACTGCTCAGTTGACCTGTAAGAACTTTATACAAGCTAATTATAAATTATCTTTTATAGTTTGTTACCTTTAACATCCTGGTTCTTATATTTTAAAAAATTATATTGATATCCTTATAATTACGAAAGTAAAATATTTAGATTCATTTATCTTAGTGTCATCGGTTTTACCAATAAAAATATAAAAATAAAAGATAAAAAGATAATTTTAACGTTTTAGTTTGTGATAGTAGACGACGATAATGTTGTTAAGGGTTCTGAATGGTTGTTGTGGATGAGGAGAGCGATGACGAAAGGTGAGGGTCGCTTTGTATTTACGTCATTGCTGATGCAGTTATCGAGTAGCAAAAGTGTCGATGTAGATATCGAGCGGTGTCATTTTGCAACTGTGTCGGCATCGACGCAATTGCTGAGCGGTGCTGAGCGATGCAAAACGACTCTCACATCTCATCATCACTCTCTTCATCCATAACAATCAACTACTATTTTTAATAATATGCTACTATCCGTCACCATCGACATCGTTCGTCACTATCAAATGAAATATTAAAATTATTTTTTTATCATTTATTTTTATATTTTTGTTAGTAAAATTGATATTGTTAGGATAAATAAATCTAGATATTTTACTTTTATAATTATAAAAATATTAATATAATTTTTTTAAAATATAAAAATTAAAATATTAAAAATAATTAATTACAAAGTATTAATCCTTTTTATGTGAAACAAATATATATATATATATATATATATAACTCTGCGAACTTTCGTAAACGACGTATAATAGATCGCTAGGACACAAAAAATAAAAATAAAAACTAACAAGAACACCCAGAAGGTCATCAACTTTAATTGCATGCAGACCCCGACTCTCAAGAGGGATACCATATATGTTACAGCGAACAAAGACTAGTCTGATGTCAGCTAGCTTTCAAGGCAAATAAAATAATTCATAGTCATTGGTTCAACAAACACTACCACCTAAGACTAGTTTATCATGGGCTAATGCTACTGGTCTCGGATACCGACCCATTTGGCTTGTGCAAGACGCTGGTCGGCGACTGCGTCGAGGCTGCAGACCGCAGCGCTTCAGCCAGCGGGCCACCCATGGAAGCCTCCTCCCCATGGTGGCCCCATCCCGACCAGTTGTTGCTAGGTCGGACCACCCGACCGTCCTCCCCGCCGTTGCTGCTGCCCTCCTCGGGTCTCTGCTTCTCACCGTTATTGCCTGTGGAAAGTTTCAGGGAGAAATCCGAGGATGGGTTGCCGGGGAGTGACATAGAGAGATGGGTAGTCGAAGGTGGATGACTGGTGTAGTTAAGCCCGTCGTCCGACTCTTGCTGTGATCTCGGCCATTCATCAAAGAACCTCTGTAGCACATAGCCTTCGGGTTTGCTGTCTTGCAGCTCCTTAAGGAAGAAGTTTGAACAGTTGCTCTGGAAGCTCCTTCCAACTGTTACTGTTCTTGTGTCTGGGTGTCTAATAACGGACAATATGCAGAAGGGTTAGGGAACAGTGGGAGTCAAAGTAGAGCAGCATCAGATGTAGGAGTTCAAAATAGAAAGGAGAATCACACTGCAACCACCTACAAATTTTCATTGTCCTGAAATCATTTAGTTACCTAAATGCTATTAGGTAACTGAGTTCTTAAAACAATATATGCATGCATGTCCATGCCAATTTTGTCCGTCTTTGATCCCCATTCTTAGCATAGGAACTAATTCAACATGATAAATTCAATATGCTAGATTCCCATAACATATGGATGCGGATTTATATACTCGAAAACAAAAAAAGTCACAAACTACGATGATCTTTAGAAAGAAATAATCTATCGATTTGTTATCGACTTTCAACTGAAAGATGCAGATGGTACCTCTGACTAAGAGGAAGGATGTCACGAGATCCAGATAGATCGAAATGGTTGTGTTGGGCACATTCTGGAGGAGGAGAAGAAACGCCAGTTTTCAAGCCATTGAGGGAAGTCGGTGTGGGGATTTCCACATGCTTTCTTGAACGGTTTCGGCCTCGATGCACATGACGCTCGCAGTACTTTTGACCTACCACCACTTCTCTTGAGCATCTCCACTTCTTTCCATCTGTTCTCCTGCATCTCCCAGGCTCAGGGTCCACAGAACATCTCCCCCAGGACACTCCCTGCATCACTGGAAAAAAAAATACATATAGATCAAACACATCTGCTGTTGGGGCGCTTTTTTGTTGTTGTTGTTGTTGTGGGATACAAAGAGTAGAATAATGACATCTTTTAATACTTTCAGGAACATGATGGTAAATTCACCATCAGAATTTGTGTGACCAGTCTTAAGCTAATCTAGCTTCTTTGTTTGGGAACTGGTCATATGGTGGATTGAAACTTCATTAAAAAGTGATGGTGATGAATAAAAATCCACAGGATAGCCAATTGCAACAAGCTATTGAAGTTTAAGTGATCATGAGAGAGAGAAAGTAAAGCTGAAAAATGTAGAAAAAGTTCTCAACAAATCAGTTAAACAATAGCTGACTTAGTTCTTCATGTGTTGTTTTCAACTGTGACAAGATGTGCTTACTTTAGAGACCAGAAAATATGACAGGCAACAATCCAGAGTCTGACTAGAACAAGAAAAACCAACATTACTTCATTTCTCTGTATTGCTCCTTCTATTATGTAGCACTTGAAAGTTAAAACCTAAAATTTCAGTATGGAGGAACAAAAGTTAGAAGTCAAAAAGGGGGAAAACTTAAAAAGCTACCTTCAAAACAACACTCTTAATGTCTTTTTTAAGAAGGAAAAAAAAAAGGGAGTTGAACACGAACGCCATAACAAGTCAAGAACATGGTAGAAGCTGGAAAGCAGCAGAGAGAGGTTTCTCAATAGGCGAAGCAAACAACAAAACCAGATCTTTGCAAGGATCAAGTGAACAACAATGCTAGATCGAGCAAATTCTCTACTCAGGTAACAGTGCAATTCAGAAGCTCACCATATGACAAGGACAAGCAAAATAAGTAATGCATAAATAGAACACAGAGAAAGGGCCAGTAGTAGTTACAAGATGGTTGGAGATGCTGGTAGAGCTCAGGATGGTGGTAGTATGGGGATGCACTGAGAAGGCTCCTTTTGATGGGCAGAATAAGTTCCAAAGGAACAGAAACCCCAGCTATCATATACTTGTAGATCAAAGCTTGCAACTCCAGCTCCTGCCACTGTGCCAGAGTGAAATAACCTATCCCTACATTACCAAAATGTAAACAAAAACACCCAAAAAATAGAGAAATGGATGAGAGAAACCAGCTCCTATGTACATGAAAAACCACTTACTTGGGAATGAAGAGAGTGAAGGGGTGGCGATGGTGGTGGTGGTCTTATGGAAGCCGCTGCAGGGCTCGGGTGCAAAGAGACTGAGAGCAGAGGCAGGTGGTTGCTGCTGATCCAGGAGGTGGAGTTTTGGGAGCCCTGCACAAGGCTGCCGGTCCGTCTGCTGCCGCTCACTCCATCGATGGGAATCCATGAAGCCACACAAAGGAGTCAGGAAGAAGGAAATGGCGCTGCCTCCACTCGATCTCCTTCGGTGGTTGCACTTTATAGTGGCTCCTGGTCTTGGGTTGTTCGGTGGGATGAGGAGGTTAGGAGAGGTTTATTGGAGGTAGGTTTACTGCAAGAACTGAGAGGAGGATCTGTCTCTACGGGAGAGGTCTGTGACAAATCTGCTTCCTTTTTCTTGGAAAGCGAAGTTACCTTAACCTCCTCCTCCTCTCCTCCTCCTCACACTGTAAAACACACAACTACTGGCTGAGAAGAGCTGTCTCACATGGAGTTAACGACAAGGACAGGCAGCAGACAAAGATCCACAAACACACATTGATGAGGTGAGAAGATATAGTTTGGCAAGTGATGACTGATACAATAATATATAATAATAATAATAATGAGGATGAGGAGGAGGAGAGAGAGAGGAGCATGAGACAGAGAAAGAGAGAAGACACCTGTTGTCTTTATCAAAAAGGCGACAAGCCTCGGGAAGAGCAAGCCAGGAGGTGGCTGAAGGAAGCCACTGCTTGCTGAACCTTGCGACTACCAGAGTGCAACAGCTGGTGAGACAGTAGTACTTGCAGTGGGTCTCAAAAGGACTGGTCCCTGTCTCTATTATGAGTCTTGGAACCCCCCCTTTCGCTCGAGCAGAAACCATTTCTGAAGACGTCGAATTCAATCAGCCGATGCAGGTTCCATGGCTCCATGATTGGTATTTCTTTATTGAACCGGAACCCTTTGACCTGCAGTAGCGACATCAGTATCTGCACTCATTGCACACATGACTCTCATGTTCATGTGGTCCAAGTCGTCAATCCAAGGGGATAAGAGCTGGATCTGATCAGCCCAGATACAGTTTGCCTATGGCTGCCATGAATGACCTGCAGCAGCAGGTGGATGGTTAAGCAAGAATGAATGTCCCTCAACACAAACACTTTAATGGGGGGAGGGGGTAACTGAGACCTCCATGCTTGTTACAAGCAGAAGAAGCGAAGGAGTACCTGAGCTGGAGACACTGGTGGCAGACTCAGCCGGCTCACGGACAATTATTCATCACGTCGCAGAGAGGCCTCTTTTAACTTTAATCTACTGTGCTCTTCTTCTTCTTCTGCGTCCATCCATCAGCATGTTTCAGATTGCATTCTTGAACAGGGCGCAAACGTGCATGCGCACGACGGTCTCCATCTACCGGTCCAGTCTCGAAGATTATTTCTCACCATTGTAGGTGAGAAAAAGCATGGCCAATTATTTCACCTGACACAAAACCCAGTCAATCATTCACGGTGGCGATCGATGTGAAACCAAGAAGATGCCGTAAAAGAAAGCATGGTGATAAATAGTTTGGATGCAGTACGAGCAGTAAATGAGGTTCATAATGGGCGAACATGGCGAGATAAAGAGATGTTGCCAGGGGCGTCTCGTCTGCCATCGCCGTTGCATCATCTCTTCCTCCATGGCAGAGACGGGGTAGCCAAAACAGTAGCCACTGTGGTTGCAGCTGATCCGTGATTTGACACCTCAGTTGCTCCCCTCGGCCCCTCTCTGCTTTCTCATCTCCCTGTCATGCCTTGCTTTGGACTTTGCTTCAATCTGCCACTTTGTAGAGCGACAGAATCCAGTGGGAGGGAACTGGTTCCAGCTCGCATTCAGAGGCCCCCACTCTCTGTCAACAACCACCATCATGATGCATGTGTGAATAAAAAAAAAAAGGGGCATAATGTTCACCAAGAGGTCAAACGATTAAAATACTGAGCATATATTTCAACAACTACAACAATAAAAATAATAATAATAATAAACAATAGTAAATAGATGAACACAAAAGGATATGACAAAACTCATGTGCTTGTATCATTACAAATATTAACCTCCTATATGAATAGTAAAAAGAAAAAAACATAAATAATTCAAGATGATCTATTTAATTATAATGTTATTAGTAATGCAGAGTATTCTCCATCACTGAGGTTGGTGACAAAGCTCAGAGACAAAAAAGATGAGAAGTATTCGAGCACTGCTTCCTTCAGCACAATTATGATGTTTCCGTACTTTGTTTGCTTAACAACCTTTGTGAAGGAAAAGGACGATTCCTGGAAAGGAATACAATGTAACAACTGTGTGTTGTTCTATTGTCCAAGAATCTTACTATTAATCCTTGCACCTTGGACCAAGGTTTGATCTTTTTTTTTTTGCTTAGAATCATGGCGGCATAGATGTTATTGACCTAAGGGAGTCAACAAAATTAATCTTTCACCACTCAGCTGAGTTTACCAATAGCCAAAAAGAACCCAGGACTTCAACTACAACTAATGACAAGAGAAATGATGGCTCTGGAATCATTCTTATTTAAATCAATTACATGAATTCCACCTTCTCCAAGGATTTGATCCTACAGAACCATGTGTGTTTCATTAACTTTATGTCCCGTTTACAGAGTTCAAGTGACACTCCAATCACACAATTCAAAATAAGCCTGACAGTAGTATCTCAGATTTTTTATTATTTCAAACTTATGTAACCATTTCAGACAAAATGCATTAATTGAGAAGTAAGAATTACCTCATTTATGCGGTAGTGGCAGACCTAACTTCCAAGTACTTGTACACATCCAGTAGCTTGGGAGTGTTGTCCATGTACATCCGAGAATTTATAGATAGATCACACTGGAAACAGCGTAACTATAACATCCCAGTCAACAGGTAACTGAAAATTGTTAGGATCAAGAGCACTAAAGGGGGGGGGGTGAATTAGTGCAGCGGAAAACTTTCGACGATTTAAAACGACAAAAATAATATCACAAAATAAGTCACAGCAAGCATAAAAGCATGATCTTGATCAACAAGTCTTATCACGACTAATCAGCTTAACCAGCCATCTTCAGGAAATCATTGACTCCAAGAAATTGGACCCTTGCCAAAATGTCAAAAACTATTGTGTGTTTTCATGCTTCTGTTCTTTTAATATTTCATGCCACTTTTAGAACCTTCAATAGAACTCTCTTGATCCATAATTTATCTCTCAATTTTTACAAGTCCACTCCTGATTTTACTTGCACTAACATTTTCTCTGTGTTGTGGTGTTCACATGCAATCTGAACAAATTATTGTTCGTCTCATAGAGATGGACATGGTTTCTACTTTTTAAAGTACAAGGTTACTATAGGTTAATACCTTATTTCAGTGGATTATGTAACAGAACCATGACATAGATTTATCTCTTGAGAAGTGAAGTTTGAAGAATCATGGTTCCAAGTTATCTAAAAATCCTAGAATAAATGTAGCAATGAAGTTGCTCAAGAAATGACAGGAAACAGAAAAGGCAGGTTAGCATATAGTCCATCACTAACTCACAAAGGGATATAACAGTTTCAGATAAGCCATCGAGTCTGATACACATTGTGTTAGCAGTGCCACAAGTCAAAAATAAAAAACATTATGGCCAAGATGAAATACAACAAGTACTTTATAAGTTCACTGAGCTTTCTTGTTAGATAGAGTCATTTAGGAAAACAGGGAGAGAATCCACAGATCTGGTACCTCATGCTCAATGCTCCTGGAATATGAAGTGGAGTTCTAATGATATACCGATAACTGATTCTTGACACATGCTCAAGAATATACTACATGAACACTGAACTACTTGAGCAGTAAAACGACAGAATTTACAAGTGCAGCAGTCCACTAAGTCAAGAGTTCTATCACTAGATAATGTGGTTTCTTGTTGATCTAGTTGCCATAATTATATTTTCCAATCGATTTAGAAACGTTATCAAACTAGTTAACAAGTTAATTACCCAAGAGGAGCTTGTAGCAGTGAAAGAGTGCCAAAGACATTTAAAAGAATACATCGGATCAAACAGCTAAACCAACTGACATAAGAAAATTTTGGAAGTCCTATCAAAAGAGGATAACATGGGCATTGCATAACGAGCAAAATAGTGGACTCCCACATCAATGCCCAACATATCCGTAGCTGTGGATTGGTGACTGCTCAAGGAAGGAGGAAGCAAATGTAAATGGCAATAGAACAAAGGGATATGAACCTATACCTGGGAAGCACTTTCAGATAGAAAAAAGATGGTTCCTTCTGATGGGTGAGATCTGCTGTGGTTGATGACATAACAGATATAAGATATCCTCTGCAGAATTTAGTTGCAAACAACCATCAAACAATCACTGAGTTTACACATAGTCAAACTTGAAAGCAATTGATGAGATATGAAAATAAATCATAAACCTTTTTTTTAAGTAGAAAATAAATCATAAACTTAACCTTCCATTTTAAAGAGTGATCAATATTCAGCAGGTGGATCGTCTTTCAGGTTTTATCCGCCTAAGTTTGCAATACCATGGCTTCATGGAGAATCTGCTCAATCAGATTTACAAATATATAAAAAAAACAAAAATCTGATGATAAACTAAAGAGATTTGATGGTTTAAGAAGTGTAAAAATAGAGCACCTGACTAGCAGATCCTTACAACGAGCATAATCTGGATACAGGATAACCACAAGAAAAAGTAAAAAGGAAACAAATAGCAGTTATATGCATACAATATAATAGGTGCATCTGATCTGAAGCCAGAATTTTCAGTACTCAGATACATCTTAGGTCATTAATGCAAAGAAGAAAAAAATTCTAGACCTTGCAGAATGGTACTGTTATCAAGACACCAGCTATAAGTACTATTTCGATATCCTGAAGTTTTAGCCAAATAGGAAAAAGAACCACAAAATTCTAGTTAAGGAACAAGTGGAAGTGGCTAATTAAGAAAAGAACTTGCAGATGATGAACTACTACTACAGCTGGATTGAACTTGTGCTTGATCTTTTAATGGTCAAGAAGTACTAAATATTCCAAACCAGTAACTTAACCCCACATATAGAAGAAATGTCAACAAGAACTCATCTAATAAAGATTAAAAGTACCTGGATGTATGTGAATAATCCCTGGTAGAACATGATTCTCCAGCCAGGCTTGATGACAATTCAAGAGATTGTTCGTTCTGGTTTAAAAGCATCACAGAAATTTTGCATAGTTCTCTGATGACATTTACAAAGCATAGCTCCAACAAAGCTATTTGAAACTTGAAAAGTAATTGAAAAGAGCAAGCTATTTGAATTGATGTACAGCTTAATAGCCTAGCTCCAACAACAATATAAACAGAGAGAGAAAGCATGTTGCGGCCAATTGCAACAGCAACTTGGAACACTCTGGAACTGGCCTCTATTTGCCCATCAAGACCGCTACCATTACATTCAGGAGTAAACCATAATTTATTCTATACAAGTCGAAAAAGCAGAAATTACTAATACTAGTTTATACAGAGCTACATAAAAGTTATTCTTGCAAAAACAAGCCACATAAAAGGAATACAGACAATATGAACATACCGAGAAAGCAGAGTATGCAATATAAGAAACAATTACAGATGGAGATAACCCATCTTGTATGCAATTATACTCTACAACTCTGATTAGAAGGCAAAGTGAATCAATAGAGCAGCAACTATCCCACAGATAGATCCAGGTAATCTCATAATACATCGACAAACATCTCTCAAGGACTAAAAGAAGCATCAAAATGTAAGTCTACCAATTGTCCTACCTATTCTAAATTAGTGACAAGTTCAAGGACTATCACATACACAGATGGCAAAAAATATATCAGCAACACATTAGAAGCAGTCAGCTTAATTATAAGTTACACAAGCCGAAAGAGATAAATATTAAGAGGATGCTGAGGAAAGAAGACATTTGGTAGGACAAGAACGTCAAACCCAATTCCAACAAGATGTAGAACTTCATAAACCCTAATCTTTTTAACTATCTATTCCTCCATTATTCATCTCTTTGTAGCTACCACTTTTAGAGTTTCACCTTTGCTTTCTTGCGTTCCACCCTCTCCTCCACATCTCCTTCTGGACATAGAGTGAGATAGCCAGCAAAGATTCAAGTTATCATTATAAATCAACGACCAAGATCAAGAAGATGCAACAGAATTTCTCCCAATTTATGACATGTAAGGGCACAAATTTATCAGCGGAAGCGCAGCATCTCGACAAGAGAGGAGGTTTAAGGTACCCAAGAATCCCAACGACCATGCTGACCGCTGTATGGCCAGTGCAGCCATGGGAGCGTGAGAAGATTCTCAAGCGCATAGAGACGAACCGGCGAAGGAGCGAAGAAGAAGGAGACGGGCAATCGATTACCTTCGAGCAACGAATCATTCCCACCGAAATCGGAGGCATCAGCCTTCACCCAGTGCGCCGTCTCTCTCTCTCTGTCGCGCGCTATTTACGTGTGCGTTGAAGACCGTGCGACGTTCAACAAGGCGTTCGAGCTTGACACATTGGCTCTGCTCGTCTGGGGTTCGATCCGGGTTAACCGAAACCGACGCCGATCGCTGCAACGGCAATGATGTCTACCCAAAACCCCATCGCACTTTCAAGGCGACAGGATCAGCTTGTCACACGTCTTCTAGGTGTTTGACAAAATGTTCTCGTCCAAGTGCGACGATCGCCACCCCCTGTTGCCTGCTTGTACGCAATCGAGGCGCTTCGGCAGTAGCCCCACGCCCGGCCACAGCGCGTGAACAGCGAGACAGTGAGGATGGCCACCGTCAAGTTTGCCAGCCATGGGATGATGAGGATGTGTTGCTTTCTCTGAGATTTGGATAGAGAGTTGGACGATAAGAGTAGTGGTGTTCGTGTGGATTTGGCCATGGCAAACAGATCACTTGTGCCGACCTCTTCTTACGTTTTCGCAGGGAAACATCTTTTCTTTCACAGGGACCGCAATGAGTGTCCGAGAACAGCTCGGACCAGTGGCCAATGGGATTGGGACCTGTTCTACTCATTTCTTGCGTCTGTTAGACTAGTAAGCCAAAATATCCTATTGCCAAAAAATAATATAAATACTAATATAATTAATAGATAAAATTTTAATAAATATTATATATGACTTAATTTGATAAATATTCAACAACCAATCAAACTTTGACACGTGGATCTCGACTAATTTAAATTCTTAATCGATATATTAAATATTTTGTGAAGTGAGGGTTGCAATATAGTAAAATGGGATCTCCTCCTCATTAGTTATTTTACATTTATTATTTCGTCTTTATTCTCTGATGTGAGAGTGCTTCTTCCTCTCCCTATGCTATCTCTTTTTCTTCGTCTAATTTATTTGGACATAATTCTTGAGATACTATATAAAAGTATTATATATATATATACATAAAAATTAGAATAATGCTGCATGGTAAGAATAAGAAAGGTAATACTAGTTTGATTGACCTCTAGGAAATGGTGCTATTTCTTTATTTTTTGGGGGGGGGGCTAATAATGACAAGGAAATGGGATTCCTTTCACGACATTATTTCATGCGTATGTTTCTGTAATTTGTCGTGGAGTTAAATTTTACTAGGAACAAAAACATCCCTCGTTCCATCCACAAGAACTTTCGGATTGAATGATAACATCATGTCTCCCTTGTGATTTGGAGGAGATCTTTGTGAGGCACTCGAGACAAACGAGTTGGGTCCATATCAAATTGTTTGTGGATATTTGCAAGCAGATCATTTACATTTGGGTCGAATTCAAGTCATCGGTTAACCACCTCATTTATGAAAGTAGAACAGGTGAGGATATGAATACGAGGAGGAGAGACGGAATGGGAAGATTGACATACATAGTCACAGGAATGGCTCTATATGTACTGAGAAGCTACATGACAGTATCCAATAAATTTAATAGCTAGAGTTTTTTTGACTTAACAATCTGTCATCTATCCCCCTTTTTTTCCTTATTTTTCTTATCGACAGATTTATATGATAAACTGATTTTGTTATAGTATTTTACTATGTTGTAATATTTTTAACATATTAGTAAATCATATGAGAATCGTTTTAAAAAAATTATATCATAAAGTTTACGCAAAGTAGAGGTTTGATCGATTTTTCAGATCAAAATTTATAAAAATATTATACAATATTTATAATACTTTAATAATAATTTTAATAATATCATAAAAACACTTATATTGTAATTAGAAAACCTAAAAAATAATTTTACGAGAATTTTTGTGTGTTTTGAAATAAGCAAAATTAGCAGAAGATAAATATTTTATTTGTTTATCGTCATCTACGCAGTTGCTTGGCATTGGCAATCAGAGCGAGGGGTTGGACACGAGTGGTCAAAAGCGAGTCCAGTTTTTTTACTGTACCCACACGTCATCTTTTCACCCACCACCCCACGCCCTCCTCGGGTTGCGTTCCCGGTTCGCCCTCTGCGGCACGTGGACTCTTCCCATTGGCTCAGACATTACGTAATGTTCCTGTCCTCGTCGACTCGCCCCCCCAATCTCTTCCCCCGCCCTTCCGTACCGCACCCCACACCTTCTTTCTTTCGTGAACGACACGATCCGACTCTCCCGCTCTCTCTCCTCTCTCCTCTTCCCCCTCCTCGTTTGCTCCCTCCCTACCTCCCTCCCCCTGCATCGTTTGCCCATTGCTTCCGCGGTTGCTCGAAGATCATACCGGCTCCCCGGCGGATCGATGGACCTGCAGGACCTCCATAATCTAATCGCCGGTAAGCCCGGCTTCTCCGCCGTCTCTGCCGTATCCGACCATGCGCATTTCCTGGGCCAACACCACAGCAGCTTCATCGCCGCGCCCGGTCCCGACCAGCAGTACGGGATGCTCGTGGCGGCCAGTCGCGGCGGCGAAGTTGATCTTCCGCCGCCACCCCCGCCTCCCCCGCTGCCGCCACCGGGAATGGAAAGCTTTGGGTTCTACGAGACGGCTTTCGGTGGTGGCGGGGGTCAAGGGCGGTGGCCGAGACAGGAAACGCTGACCCTGTTGGAGGTGAGATCCCGGCTGGACTCCAGGTTCAGGGAAGCTGCCCACAAGGGTCCGCTGTGGGATGAGGTCTCCAGGTACATCACCAACTCTTTCCTCTCTGGGTTGTATGAGTATCTATATAAGATATGGCAATTGCCCAAACTGGTAGCTCTTCTTCCTCCTTTGTTGAGTTCCCGAACTTGGTGTGCACATACAGCGCAGCGTCATGTTTGATGTAATGCTTGCTTCATCCCTATAGCTGCTGACGCTGCGTAATGGAGCTCGATCGTGTCATAGGATCGAACACAAAGCAGCACTCACGTGGCTATTATTAATTGCTTCCTTAACCTAATTGTTGTCTTGACTAGTACAATGTTAATCCAGCTTCCACCGAGTGCAGGATCATGGCAGAGGAGCATGGATACCATAGGAGCGGGAAGAAATGCAGGGAGAAGCTGGAGAACTTGTACAAGTACTACAAGAAGACCAAGGAAGGGAAGGCAGGGAGGCAGGATGGGAAGCACTATAGGTTCTTCAGGCAATTGGAGGCTCTCTACGGAGGGAGCAGTAGCGCCACCGCCGAGATCATTCAACCATGCTCTAAACCTACCTATGCTTCCGCTCTACCGTCAAACCGAGAAGCCTTGCAGGTTTCCAGGTTCTCTGGGAACGTCAGCTTGTCGAGTTCTAGTGAATTCGATGGGACCTCATCGACCGGAGAAGAGGGAGAACAGGAGGACGGAAGTATGAGGAGAGCAAAGACGGGAAGAAAGAGTTGGAAGTCGAAGGTGGAGGAGTTGGTCGACGAGCAGATCAAGAGGTTCATAGAGGTGCAAGAGACGTGGATGAACCAGATGCTGAGGACACTGGAGCACATGGAACAGGCGAGGATCTCCCGGGAGGAAGACTGGAGAAGGCAGGAAGCGGAGCGGGTCGACCGAGAGTACGGCCTCTGGGCCAGCGAGCGAGCGTGGATGGAGGCGCGCGACGCCGCCATTATACAGGCGTTGGAGAAGATAAGCCGCCGCGAGCTGAGATCGCAACCGCAAGAGGATCGGAGCGCGAACGGGGAACATGGCGATGAAGCCGACGGCAACTGGGCGGCTCAGAGATGGCCCGAGTCTGAGACCGCCAGTCTTGTCAGGATCAGGAGAAGCATGGAGGCGGAGTTCGGAGAGGGTGGGAGCGGTAAGGTCGGCCTGTGGGGGGAGGTCTCGGCCGCCATGGCTTGCTTGGGGACCAACCGGAGTGCGAAGGGGTGCAAGGAGAAGTGGGACGACGTCAACAAGCGCTCGAGGAAAGCCAAGGAGAGCCAGAAGAAGCGGAGGAGAAGTGGCTTGACGAACAAGCACGGCGAAGGTTCGTGCAGCGAGCCAAGTGGCTGCCACGAGGAGGGAGAGCAAGGATCGGACGTGGCGGGGGGTTTTGCGCTTGCTGATGGTCCTGCATCTCCTCCGGATTTCGATGGTGGAGTCAATGGAGTCAACGAGATATCTTTCTTGTTCTCGGTGGGCGAAGATGAGAGCCTGTGGGCGAACAACGGTGGTGTGAGGAATACAGGTGGATGAATTTGATGTATTTGCGCCCAAAGAACAACGCCTTTCTGCGAAATCAGTAACCCAAAAAACGTTCACTCATAAATATAAATTTTTAGTATACTATTATTGGCTTCAGGTCTCAATTCAAAGTCGAATTAAATATTGTCTTCACCAGATACTATTTTAGCGAAGAAAACTTTAACCATGAAATCCAATTTCTTATTCTAAAATTCCAGAATTTACAATACGATGACGTTATCCATGTGTTATTGTTTCATAAAAAATATTTAAAAACCAATTTTTAGTTAAAATGAAAAATAATTATAAGATTCTAACATTATTTTTGTTGCCAATAAAGAATTTTGCTGCGTTCAAAAGATAAACCAACCACAATGCAAGGTAATCATGACTACCCAACCAACATTGTCATGGCAAAAGATTGAATTCATGGGACGATGTGATAGAATTACGGAGCACTGACTTCGATTTGCACAAAATTATATTTGCGTGTGTGTATATAAATAGGGCGACCGAGGACACAACGCAAAGCGCAAGACGGGCTGCAATGGGCAGCGCTGCAAGCGGATGCGCCGTGCGCGTGGTGTCTGCGACTGGAGAGCCTCAGTCGCGGTACGCGGCACTTTGAACGCTGCCATCACGTCTAAATTCGAAATGATTACACGGCGAGAAGTAGTTCGACGAATAATGGAAGAAAGAAGGGGTTGGACGCTTAATTCCGGTCGTCGCCCTCCTCCGGACGCGACGAGACGAGGGGAGGACAAGGAGGCACGCCCATCGCTCCCGCCGGACCACATGAAACCTGCGCATGGGCATCGAAACAGCTCCCATATACACGACTCGTGCTTGCTCATATCCAGCAGCAGGGACGTGCACCACGTCCCCAAGCTCCCATATATGGTAAACTCACAGCGCCGGCAGCTGACCCAGGTGCGTTTGGCCCCTCCTTGTACGGCGTGCTGTAGGAAGTGGACACAGCACAGCGTGATGTTGAACTCTTGATTGACCAAGGCGTACTCCAGGAAGAGCACATGGCCAGGAAACGCTTGGTTGGGGACGGAGACGATGCTGCCACTGCCTGTGATTGAAGTTGCAGTGTGCACATCACCACACAATTGTTTGGTTGCCGAAAGCAAAGCCTGCAATTACAGGAGTAGGTTGCTGCTTCACACCAGCATGTCAAAGGACTCGCTCTAATAATAACTGTGCTTAATCATTTCCTTGAAACAAAAAGTCTACATAAACAGACCCTTCCTCGAACTCTAAGAATTTGCTAAAAGACATCAGCCACCTTTTTCTTTCCTCACTCTACCCTTAGTAGATAAGCCTCTTTGGACCAACGATCCCTTCCTGGTTAGTTTTGGCAAAGTGACTTCCAGAAACACACGTAGGCAGAAGATGGTGATTTGCATGAGATGTCTCACTATAAGAGAGTCATTTGTTAACTAGGACAAATGCAGATAATTATCAGGCCAGTTAGCAGGAAGAACAGGCCCAGCTGCAACAATTGCTTCTAGACAGGACCGTTTAGTAAGAATTTTTATTTTCCGGGTCAGTATCAGTAGGACAGCCAACAAGACTGGGTCTTGACAGACATCACATCAAGGATTCTCAACTTAAACATAATAACCTATATATCCTTCTTCAATGAAACATCACAAAAAGTAGATGTTGCAGATTAAAAAGTGATTAATAATTAAGAAAAAACTCAGATGAAAACATTGGGTCAGGTACTAACCGATGCAAAATGATCTTCAGCAGAAGAAGTGAAAATGATATAAATGTACTGAGAAGATCATAATTCTAAGATTTAAAGCAAGAACAACGCAACAACGACAGCTAAGTAGTCAATGAGGGAACAGTGGTGAAATAAAGATGGATCGAGATGTACCACTAAACATGACATTCTTTGAATTCGAGGGCTCCCTCGATTGTTGAGAGTACCAGGGAAATAGCAAAATCATGAACAACATACAATGTGAAACACTAGTACACAAACCAAACAGCCCAAAAGCAAATAAACTTGCAATTGCAGAATTAGGGATTCAGAAGGATCAAAACAAAGATATTCCCGAATTCGACGGCCTCAAGTATAATTCGGAGAAACTCGGTTTTGGATCCCGAGGAAAACATATGGATCCCCAATCTGAGAAGCCATCGCCAACTGACCACACGATTTACATTTCGAATTGTTGGTGGTTAAAAAGGGAGAGAGACCAATTCAAAGATATCCACGATTTGTGTTTCCAGATCAATAGGGACAATATCAGCAAGAGTGTGACATCTAAATCACAGACAGGTCGACCATTCTTGTAACGATTCAAAGAGAAAAGACCCGGACGAACAGCAATTAGTAGCAAAGCAACAACAATCATTGCACAGATATAGGAGACGTTCTGTAGAAGTAGGTATCGACACATGCGAGAGATCCATCAAAGCCCTTTTCCTCCTCACTGAGATCCGAATCCACACCAACCACTAGAGAGAAGTAGGAGAGGATAGAGACAATGAGAAGGAAGAAGGGGTGGCTTACCGTGGCACTTCCTGCAGCACGCCAACGTCTTTGCTCGATCGGAGAACGACGACGGCGAGTGGAGCGAGAGGGACGATGAGAAGGCTGGACAACGAAGATTCGAGAAGCGGGCTTTGACGGCCCACCAACATCATCAAGACGAGTGGATCGCACCCGCAACTCACGTGCTGTTAAGCCGATCTGTCTCAGCCGAGCTCACCAACCGTATGTACGAGTCGCACCCACTTGTCCTAGCACGACTCACGAGGCAAGTAAAACGTTCAAGTCAACAAATTTGCGATTGACTAGCTATTATCCAAGTTATATATATATATATGTATGCCGTGTGGGACCCTTGCAAGTAATGTCAGCTAGCAGCGTCAGATCCATTATCTAAAACGCTCGAGGGGTGAATTAATTGAATTCGATTCACAGAGATTATAAAGGACAGGGTGGGGCCCAATTGAATTCGAGGTTGACTTGATCCTGGTGGGCGATGAGTCAGGGTCCCACTTCCCGAGACCTGGATCTGAACACGGGCCCACGTATTTTTATTACGCATAACGACAATAAAAGTGTCATTAATTAATAAAACTCATTACAATTTATATTGCAATAAAAATAAATCGTATTAAAAATTAATCTTCTTTTTTGTTGTCTAAAAAGACTATATTATTTAATATATGCTACAGAAGAAAAAAAAATTGCAAAGAAGATGCAAGAAAATTGAACCTTTCATTGCACGAAGGTCCCACGCAGGAGAGGATTCTACTGGCCTTTTCATCCCAAAAAAGATATGTATTTTACCGGCATGATGAATCATGGATCATGTCACTGAAATGACACATCATGCACGCTTCCACCTTCCTCAAGGGAGAAAGAAAGTAAGATGTGACACTGTGTATATCTATCTCCTTTATTGACCAGACCGACGAGAGTCATCTGTGAGGCCAAAAACCTTTGTTGCCAGCTGAAGCACATCCCCTTCCCCCACAGATTCGACTTGTCCTTTGTCAGATTCCACCACGTCTTCTTCCCATCTGTGTTTCTTGTGGCATGGTAACCAGAGTTCAAAGGGCTTTCCGTCTCCCTCTTCTTAGGATCCCTCTTCCTCCTGCCAGTAGATCAGAAGAACATCGACTGAAATATGTTCTGACGAAAAGAAACCTCGAGAGGTCCTGCTGGAGAATCTCTTTTCGAAACTCTTACAGCTCAAAAGACAATAAGAAAGAACAATGAACAGTGCTCGCCAGCTAAACAGTCCTCACAAACAAGAGAACTGTAGCGTGCCAACAACAAGCACAAGGCCATCACTCTCTTGCCAAGTGAAGTCAATCAGTCCTAAGTGCAGAGAAGATAGCAACCATAAAGAAATGTTTTCTAGCCTTATTCTGAGTTATGATTCATCCTGTTTGATATGGGAGAAGAGAACATAATGTGCTCACCAACCAAATCTGTGATCAAGCAACTCTTAGCAGAGAAGCAATAATAGAGAAGTAAGAGGCCGAACATGTATCAGAATCATTGGCTCTTGAAGGCTTGGATCAATAGAGAGAACCCAGAGATGTTCGGCGCCAGTTCCTCGTCCGACCACAGCCTGATCTCCGACGTGCTCCTCCGCCAGAACATGAAGCGAGCGCAGTGGGAGGCTTCGCAGAACCACCAGTCGTGCACGTCCCACAGCACGTCGACGGCCAATCCGTCCACGAATATTGTCTGGTTCCCTCGGAAGTTCCATGTCGGTGTCTTCACGCTGACCAGCTTCTTCTTGTCGACGGAGATGAAGATCTCCGAGCCCTCGGCGTCCAGCTCGTCTCCCTTGCACCTGATCGTTATCTCGTGCTGCTTCCCCCCGTCGCCGAGCTGAGCCCTGGTGGCGTAGAGAGTGGTGCCGCGCACCTGCTCTCTCCTGCTCGACATGAAGAACTTTGCGATCGGTGGCGGGTTCTCCAGCTTTTTGACGAACTCCCCGCACATATCACCGAGCAGCAGACCGAACTCCGCGTCGGCGATCATCACGACGAAGAAACCCCTGGTGGGCTCAGGCGCCGACTCATAGGTGGCGGCGGAGACGTCCCAGTAAAGGCTGACGGCCGAGTTGCCGACTACGAACGACCGGCTGCCTTTCTTCTTCCGCAGGAGCTGGGAATTCACGACATTGGGCTTGATCAGAGTACCGGAGAAGGACGAGGAGGAGGAGCTGTCTTCGACCATGACAGAGAGGGATGCGCCGGCTGGGTACTTGGACCAGGTGACGCCGGTGAGCAGCTCCCTCCGGGTGGAGAGGGTGGTTCTGTAGAAGCAAGTGATGGTGTTCTGAACCGGGCTTTGTTCGGCCACCGACGAGTGCCCGTTCACCGAGCATGTGGCTTCTGCAACTCTGACAGCTTGGTTCGCCAAGCAACCGGCAAGATCTCTCATGGTGAGAGGAAGAACCAAGAGATCGGAGACAAAGTTATGGCCCTGTGCAGCCTGATACTTCTAAGATTGGCATAGAGAATAAAAAGCAGAAGATGTATGCTTTAAGAAAGCAAAGTCCACAGAAGGAATACCATCATTAGGAAACATGACAGGCTGAGGGAAAGAACAAGTTACCTTCTCTTAGCTTTTGCCTTTTTCTTTTTTTCTCTTTCTTTACATCAGCCACCTGAGCTGCCAATATAGTAATTCCAATGGTGTTGTGTTGCAGGAATTAAGGTGCTGTTATCTCATGCTCATTAAAGGCTGAGTTATAGGAGGAAATAGCATAAACTTGGCTGATAAAATCTTGAAGAATGATCTTAATTGATCTCCTCCTTAAATTAATTATTAAGGAACATGGTCAGCCAACCACAATATAAATATATGGTTGGCTGAACTTAGTCACACATTGTAATCAGGTAAAAAATTAAATTAACTAATTTTGATGTGATCATTTTGAGTTAGTGACTAAAGCTCAGTAAGTTAATTGAGTCATAGTTATACATACATTCACCACTATGCTTGATTCAGATTAGTATACAAAAAAGATATTGTATTGATCATTTCGTACTCTTTAATTGAAACTCCTATTTGCATTTCTTCTCACAACTCTCTAGTACTAATTATGATTGGTTTATCTTTGACAAGCAAGATATGACTTGAAGTGATTGGTCTAAGCTATCACATCTCATATTTATAAAAAAAAATCATTATTTTATTATTCATAATTTATCATAACTTTTTTAAATTTAAATTCATATTTTGGTGATACTAAATTTTTTTATAAAAATATATTTTTTTAATAGGTCTACAAGTGAAAAAAAAATCCATTCAAGTCTCATATCTATAAATCTATAAAGTAGTAGGTTAATCTGAAAATAAATATAAGATAAAAATATATTAGAATAACCACGTATGTTATATGTTAGTAGGAAATTTTAAAAAATCTTTTAAAAAATTTAATATTCATGAAACATATATAAATATTAATAATTTAATATAAAATAATAAATATTAATTTATTATGAAACTTATATATCAAATAATAATAATAATTCTTATATTGTAAATAAAATCATATAATACATACAATCAGATAACAAAAATGTACATCATATTTGATAATGTACTCTTTCAGATAGAGATAGAGCAGTATCCCTCACCCACCTAAGTAGGGAAATATTCATCCCAATAACAGATGATGGAAACATTCCCTAAAAAATAATTACCTTATTTGTCCTCAACAGTGATACATAGTTTAACCATGAGCATTCATTAATTCATATATGCATCTAAGAAGTAGTAGGATAAAAAGATTATGAATGATCGTACTTGATATATAACTTACTAAACCATGTCATGGGTGGCTTTGCACTATGATAGACTTATAGCTCTTTTCACATATAACACTTTTAATATGGATGATTAAGCATAGTTATATGAACGACATAATAACAATCACATCAATATCATTAATTTAATAAAAAAAATTAATTATTTTTAAATAGTAGATAAAATTTTTAAATTCATCAAATCATAAAGACATGAAGTATCAATCTCTCAATAATTCTTAATCAACCAAAACCCTATTTGGAATAAGTCCATTGACTTGAATCGACTCCAATTTAAAGAAGGCCTAAAGGAACCAACATTAAATCTTTATTATACTAGTTGTTAGGAAATCTGGGCGACATCACATATGCAATAGAAGATAAAACCCTAGAATTTCCGTAGAAAAGAAGATTTTATCATCATGTAAAGATTGGTACGCTAAAACTCGTAAAAATAAAAAACTACGCTTAAGAGAATTATCAAGGAGATCGTATGTCCCTGAATTCCTGCAGATCTATGGGATTAGAAGAAGTTATTCAAATGCCCTCCTCTCTAGTGGTGATCCACACGATAGGGGCTACGAAGACGTTTCTTAAATCACTGCCCAAAACTTTTCCTCACGCGCACTATGCAATTAAGGGGTTACCCCTTTTTGCTGTCCACATACCCCAAATAGAGGCTACAATAGGAGGAGGAGGAGAGAGAGGAGAATAGGAGGAGACAACAAAAAAAAATCTAGCATATGGTCCTTTGGTTTCCTCCTATTTATAAAGGCTCACTATTAGCTTACCATAATGGATCATACCATATTGGGTATTAGATCTCTATCTAACTCCCAAGCCTCTTATATTAGTGAGTCTTTATACAATAATCTCTTATTAGCTCTTATTAGATCTCATTCATAGGATCCAACAATTCAAGGGCTTATTAGATATCCAGTAAAATAGGGGCTCCAACGGATATCTCATATCTGAAACTCTACCCATCGTAATACCTACCACATGTGTGTGACCCTCTGTTGGGAAATCTTGGGAGGCGACATCACATGCGCAGCAAAAGAATAGAAAACAAAATCGTCAATTTCCCAAAGATTTGTTTGTCGTTATACGAAGATTTGTGTGCAAAAATCCACAAAACTTAAAACTGCGTATAAAGTGGATTGTGCTACCTAGGGATATCGTATATCTCGGAATCCCTGCAGATCTCTAGGAGAGGGTGAAGGAGGTCAAGCGCTCTCCTCTCTAGCAGTGATCCATACAACATGGCTGTGATAACGCTCCTTAAAACTTCAAGCCTACTTTGAGGTGGAGAGGGGGGAGGAGAATATGAGAGGCAAACAAAGGCTAACCTATGAACCACTGAATCCCTCCTATTTATAGAGGTCCCTTGTCAACATAACCCTAATGGATCCTCTCATATTAGGTATTGGATCTTCATCCAATTACCCAATCCTCTTAGATTAGTGAATCTCTATACAATAATCTCTCATGGGCTTTTATTGGACCTTGTCTATGGGATCCAATAATTAATTAGCTTATTGGATATCCAATAAGATAGGGGCTCCGACGGATATCTCATATTCGAACCTCTACTCATCGTAATGCCTACCATATGTGTGTGACCCTCTAGGCTCAATATCAAGCTGACTGTGAGTCATACTTGTTAGAACTCCTTCTGGCTCAGTGAATTATTATCTCTCGCGGACCGTGAGTCATACCTGTCTACCATATATGTGTGATCCAAAGACATCACTTGACTCATCGACTACGGATGTACTAGGCCACTAAATCGTAATCCCCAAATGATACAGGAGAATCCAATCCATTGGACCTGTCTATCCTTAGTTACTTTGTACCTACAGTCCCTCATCTATCTAATATCCTGGAGACCGTATACTAGACATGGTACTATCAAACCCATACGGTTTCTACTCGAGTCTTACTCTAATCAAATTCTCCCGAAGAACTCTTTCTCTCTCAATTCGAATGGCCCTAACCATGGATTTATCTTAGTAAGAATATATAGGATATTCCTCTCATGACACCGAGAGTGTATGATCCTATATCGATACTCAAAATCCTTCGTAAAGTTGACTGTCACTCCCGATGATCGGTTGTACTAGATCTGGGACATCTAAACCTATAAGTCTGATATCAAAGAGTAGAGCACTCATACAGGACATCCTTGGTATCTCAAGTCTAAGGACTATATATACTACTAGGACTACGGAATTATTGTCTGACAATAAGGCATCATCAATCATCAAACATTCCGTAAGCGGATCAATTAGTGAACTCATTCTCCAATGAGCACTTGTACTATATCCCTAGTGTCCCCACACGAGCAGCTACGAGACCAGCTGCATCCATCATATGGACGGGTATACAGTACATCAGTCTATCCGGTTATCTCGATGTCTCTCTTGAGTAACCTATGATCAAGATTATTTAGGATCTATGCTTAAAAACGAATCGGTCTCATTATAGTGATCTCATCACGATCCGATTTCTGTTGCATAGATCCAAATACATCATAATATATAAAAGCATATATGCAATAGTTAATATAAAGTGATAAATGTCAAAATATAATAATTAAAAAGATTGTGTGTCAAGTCACACATGTCATCACTAACGTGATTGTCTTGTTGGGCACTTATGACTAGCACCCTTTAGGCCCAATATCGAGCTAATCATGAGTCATACCCGTTAGAATTTCTTCTGGTTCAATGAATTATTATCTCTATAATAATTCCCTCGACTCATCAACTATGAATATACTAGGCCACTACCCAGACGATATAGGGGAATCCAATTCATTGGACTTATCTGTCCTCAGTTACTATGTATCTATAGTCCATAATTCATCTAATATCCCAGAGACTATATATCGGGCATGGTGCAATCAGACTCATATGGTTTCTACTCGAGTCTCGCTCTAATCGGATTCACCTAGAGAACTCTTTCTCTCTCAATCCAAATAACCCTAGTGAGGGATTTATCTGAGCAAAAATACAATACGTGGGATATTCCTCTCATACACCGAGAGTAGATAATCCTCTATCGACACTCAATAGTCCCAATAAGGTTGGCTACCACTAATGATGACCGGTTGTGCTAGATTTGAAACTTACAGACCTATAAGTTTGGTATCAAAGAGTGAAGTACTTATACAAGACATCCTTGGTGTCTTAAATCTAAGGATAAGATACACCATCATGACTACGAAATCGATATTTGACAATAAGGCATCATCAACCGTCTAGCATTCCGTGAGTGGATCAATCAGTGAACTCATTCTCCAATAAGCATCTGCACTATATCTCTAGTGTCCTCACACGAGCATATATGAGGACCAATTGTTTCCATCATATATATGAGTATACAATACACCAGTCTGTCCGATTATCTTGATGTCCCTCTTGAGTAACCTATGACTATGATTATTTAGGGTTTATGTTTAAAGGTGAATCGATCTCATTATCGTGATCTCATCACGATCTGATTCCCATTGCACAGATTCATGGATATCACAATATATTCATACAACAAGAAATATAAAGTATTAAAATATCAAAAAATATAATAAGAAAAAAGAATATGTATTATGTCACACATGTCATCACTCATGTGATTGGCTTGCAAGGCACCTATGACCAGCACTAGTCTAGAATCATCCTATACTGGTTTAAGTTAGATTTGATTGATTTGAATTAGATCAAATAGGTTTGAATCAATCAAGTTACCCTAGAATCACCCTAAATTGACTTGAATTAATCAAACATATCTAATTTAGTCAACTAACAAGCTCAAATCAATAAAGGTAGAAAAAATTAGATTATATCATATTAGCACTAGTCCAAGCTGAATTTACCCACTTAAGCCTTTGATTGGTCACGTGCATCGTACATGCCCCTCACAAGTAGCAAGTTAGGTTATGATACAACGGGTTAGATTGAGGAGCAAGTTAGGTTTCACTATCTAACGCAAGTCATACAGTTGGGCAAGTCTACCTTCGTAGGTTGGGTTTAGCCTCACTTACGAGTTGGATTGAGCCTTACCATTAAATTAAGTCATGCTTGACTTATGACTTAGGTTATGCCTAGCCATATGGGTTAAAAAATGCATGATTGCATGAGTTGGGTCATACATGACTATATGAGCTACCGTATATATGATCATATAGGCCGGGTTATACCTAATCATATAAATTGACTTATACCTAGCTACATGGGCTGAATTATTCTTGGCCACATGGGTTAGTTTGGCCAATCAACCTAACTTAAGTTAAACTCTGATATAATATCTCTTATGAAATTATATTCTAATATTTTTAGCAATACTTAAAAATATTATAAAATAATAATTAAACATAAATCTATTTTTTCTACAAATTAACTAATTTAGATTCATGATTCTAAATTTAAAACTAATTATGAAAATTTACATATAATTTATTAAAATATTAATATGTATAATAAAATAAATTAAAAAATATTATTAAATTGACAAATCATTATAATATCATAATTCAATAATTCTTATTTTATTAATTATAAAATTTTAAAATTAAAAATATTATTATGCATCATACAAATTATAATATTAAAAATTTTAAAATATGAACAAAAGTTAGTAAACAAAAGAAAAAAAAAATCGTACCTAATCGAGAAATCCTCTCTTATATTCTTTCACTGTTAAGTTTGTTGAGAAATGATGGAGGGGACGTTCTTTGCTCTTTTTATAAAAGAGAATATGAGTTCATCCCCAAAAATAAATAAAAAATTAATTTTTTATTTTTAATTTATTTATAATTTACTTTCACACACAATAATAGAATTATAATATTTAATTCTTATAGTTCACACACAAAAATAAAATTTTAACTATTTACTTTCTAAAAATCACATCATAATTAAATAATTTAATTGATTGATAAAATTATTCATACGATTAAGAAAATTAATTTTAATTATTTTTTAATCATACTATATAAATAAGAAAAATAATAATTTAAATAAAAGTAATATATTATTTATGATAATTTGATTTATGTTAAGAGAAAAAAAATCATTGATGATTACATAAACACTAAGTAATTGTATTTTATGGTTGTTATGTCAATCGAAATGATTGGTGGTATTTCAGTCCCCCGTATCCAACAGGAGCAGCATCTCAATTGGAATAGACATAAGATCAACATGATCTCTCTGAGGGACGTTAATTACTATTGCTTCTATTCAGAGCCCAGCAAATCTTCTCCGGCAAGTTGAAGAACAAGCAACTCTGCAATCCCTCGTCAAGAGGTAATCAAAGTTGGCGAGGCTGTTGGAATGTGAGTAGGGCATAACAGGACTGCAGGTGGAACAAAGTGGCAGTCATATGATCTCTTGGATCAGCTTAGTGATCAATGGTGGTGGAGGAGAGAAAAACTTTCAAATCAAAAGAAATTTGATATATCAATAATTAAAGTATATACTGATGTAAAATAAGTATGGTTCGATATTTTTTAATTTATAATAATAAAGAAAAAATAATAATTTTTTTTTTTATCATAGATCAACCAAATACCTTTCAAATTAACCCTAACTTAAGTATAAATTCTCTTATACACTCTTTCATAAATCTATTTTTTTTTTCCATCATATTTTGTTACCATCAAAACCTAAAGATACAAATAATATTATAAAATAATTAAATCTTGATTTTTTTTAAAAAAATTTCTTTACAAGAAGTCTTTCCATATCATGATTTCTTAAACACTTGTCTCAAATTTATAACCCCAACACATAAGCATACCAAAATCCACAAAAAATGACATGTAAGGTTCTTCTTAAAGTTAAATTTACACCTATAGACTTTGGTAGTGACAAATGTGCAATCTTCCCTAAGTTTGATGTGTCCCAATGGAGGTGTCTTGGATGAGTTAGTTAGTTTGCATTTCTATTCAAAAGATATTATTTTTTTTACTTTTAAATATGGCCACCCATGTCACAAAGGAAAGATGTTATTATTATTATTATTATTATTGTATGAGGTTTGAACCAACCAGGATTTGGGATATACTATTTTTTTTTCTTATATTTGTATAATTGGTATATTGGACTCTTATTTGGTTATTAAATGCCTTTATATATATTTATTTCTAATTAGGCTGATTTTTCAAACTGATCCAATGCAAAGTATTTTGTAATGAGAATTTTTTTTTGAAATTTTGATCGTAAATAAAGACTAAGTAAGGAAGACGAGATTCGAGTCTAAAATCTAATAATAAATCATCAAAGTTAGACACATTACTTTTGTGTAAAACAAACATTGGAAATCTGTAATGTATCTATCTGTGTTCATAACCAAAATTTTTACTCAATATTTTTTCTTCCAAATGGTGCAATCATAAATTCAATTCAAAAACATTTAAATATTTAATTCACATCATTCGGATCCATATTCCTCACTCATACTTCTATTTGCTTCAGAATCTAATACGTTTCGATTTATTTCAAGGTTTATTACGTGTAGTAATGATGGCTTTATAATATGTATTTATTAATGGACGGATCTTATAATTCACACGCCTCGAATCTATTCCTTCTTTCGATCGTCGCTCTTTGGCCATTACGTGTTGAGCCGCCGTCACGGGTTGCTGGAATTCCACATATACCCCCAACTCTCCTGCCACTCGCACCGCACGTGCCTTCGCCCCCCGCCCTTCGTTCTCCCAAACTTAGGGTTTCGTTTCCTTCGAATTCTCTTATTAGTAGTGCTCTTCGATCCCCGAAATCGCGCGGCCGACCTACTCCTTCGTATCCATGAAACACTAGATGGAATCAGGTGAGGAGGACTGCGGGAATTCCCCCCGGGGGTGATGGAGATGGAGAACTCCCGCAGATCCGCCATGGACCGCTCCCGAGAACCGGGCTTGAAGCGGCCTCGGCTGGCGGCAGCGAACGCCGCGGACCGGGGCCGCGTCGCCTCCAACCGGGACCGGACGCTTCCTCCGCTGAGGACCGGGGGGCAGACGTTGGCTCCTAGGGCAGGGGAGAGGCAAGAGAGAGACGACGTCGTGAGAAGAGGGTCGCATCAGGAACTTGTGGCGCAGTACAAGACGGCGCTCGCCGAGCTAACATTCAATTCCAAGCCCATCATCACTAATCTGACCATTATCGCGGGAGAGAGCCTTCACGCCGCCAAGGAAATTGCCGCTCTTATCTGCGCCAATGTCCTTGAGGTGACCGATCTACTTGAACTCGCCTAGAACCACAACTTTTGATCTTTTGTATGTAATCGATGGGGAAAAAAGGCTTTTTGATACTATCATGTGGAGTACTAGGATTCTTCTTTTGTACTTATGGTGAAGCAGTATGTTTGTAGCCGTATATGAGCATGCACAAATAGACACTGTTGGGACAAAAAAATGTAGTTCTCAATAGTTAATTCCAATGGTGCTGATTTATAGTTTCCATATTTGAGGTTCCATCCTTATGTCTCTAAGACTATTCAATTCTTGTACATCTCATTCGTTGCCCACCAAATTCACCAACGTTGATGTAAATCTTTCCTTGAACCAAGGAATCTTGAGTGAGTTTGTGTGATCTGCATTTGCACATGAATACAATGGGTGACACTATTACTTGGTGCAATTCTGTGTGAGTGGAATGTTCACTAGATTGACAAGTGTCTTGGCATCATTTTTTCATCAAAAGGTTATGTGCTTCTTCATGGGTTCAAATTTGTTGATGATGTGGTATCGCCCACCTGGGATGTCAGAAATCATGTCATTCTCTATGCCTTGAACATATGTTATTTTTTGTTATTATCGACATTGTTATTTAGCAAGATGTCAATTCCTTCAAAAAATGATGCCCTTTACAGTCATCATTTACTAAATTTGCTTTTCCTAAACTATATATTGGAAAATAGTCATAACTGCTTGTGAAAATTTCCACCAAATATTTTTTTCTATGCTCATATGTGTTAGAATCTCTAAATACCTCTTCATTTGTTTCTTTAATTTTCCTTTTAGTCATAATGTATTGTTGAAATGCTGATACGCAGGCACCCAGTGGACAGAAGTTGCCATCGTTGTATCTGCTAGATAGTATCGTGAAGAATATCGGGAAAGATTATATTAAATATTTTGCTGCAAGGCTACCTGAGGTAGATTCTTCTGTTTGGTCATGATTTATGAAGCTTTGCTATCATGGTTATTTTGGCATCCGTTTCTCTCCACCTTTTATTGTCCTTCCAGTTCTTTTCTACGTATTCACATCAACTTATGAAACTACTTCAGTTTTTTCTGTGCTAACGATGCTTTTGTAGGTCTTCTGTAAGGCCTTCAAACAGGTTGAATCTTCTATTCATCCTAGTATGAAACATCTGTTTGGGACATGGAAAGGAGTTTTTCCATTGGCCCCTCTTCAGATAATTGAAAAAGAGCTAGGCTTCCCACCGGTCATCAATGGTTCATCTGGATCAGCATCATCAAAACTTGATTCCCAACCACAACGTCCAGCTCACAGCATTCATGTGAATCCAAAATACTTGGAGGCGAGGCAGCGCCTTCAACAATCACCTAGGGTAAGCCAGTCATCAATGAGTTTAGATGTCAAAGGCTTTATAGTCTCAACATTTACCCTCTGCTGTTCTAGTGTCTCCAGGATTTCATATAATTCTTTTTTGTTGACTGTAGAAATTCCTAGATTTCTTCAAGTGTCGTGGTCAATGTAAATGTCTCTATAATAGCATTGCATTGTCCATCCGATGTAGTTATACTTTCTTTAGTCAGATCAGTGTGTTTGTATTGGGATGTAAAAAAAATGGCTTAAACTGTGATGAAAATTCTTAAACTAATAGGTTCTTGTGGAAAATCAAAACAAGCAGAAAATGGTGAATGAATTGGTAAAAGACTTAAGGTAACACGAGGATAAAATTCAACAAAGATTTTTCAGGGAAATGTTAGTTAGCAAGATGATTAGGGAGCAAAAGAGGTAGAAAATGAGTAATTATTTGATCAATTTTATCTGAATATTTACTTGTATTTACCACTCTTTTATATCTATCAAGTTGTATTAATAGTTTTAAATATGAACTCTTGCCTTGTTAATGGCTTGCTTGGAAGAGCCATAAAAGCATCTTCAGTCTACATCCTGGTGGTAAGTAGTACTGTTTTCCTCAAATGTTCCCAGTATTGAACATTTATGGATAACGTGTACCTTATTTTTTTGAGGTTTGCCTCCTACTACCAAAACAACTAAAGACTTTGTGATATAAGCTATAATGAAGGTCAAACTCTTTTGGGAATTGGGTGATTCTGCTTATCTGTGGGGTATTACTCAGTGTCTAAGCTATCAATGTACTAAGACTTCAATAGTTGTAGCCACCGGTTTTGATGTAGATTTTTCTTTAACTTGAATGTGGTTTGATCTTTGGCCTGTAACTGATGCCTGCTTCTCTTGGTGTCTCCATCATAATTTAGAAAAATTAGTCTGGTGGGATTTATAATAGTACATAACATAGCACTGATAAGTCCATGATAGGACCATATGCTATGTTCAAGTTCACAATTCATTCGCATGGATATTACAAAAGACAGAAATATTGAATACTTTTTGCACTTGAGTTGTACTTGCTGTTTCTGCTGGACTGCCTAGCTGACAAACAAAATAATTCAATAGTTTGTTAAAACCTGATTCAGATGTGGCAGAAGAAAGATTAAACCCACAGATGTAAATTGTTATGGTGAATGGAATACATGTGTTTTGATAAGTCCTGGTGATACTAATAACAGATGGGTTTCAACTTTTATTATTCAATGCCACCTCCAGATACATACTGTCAAAGTACTAGTGATGGTTTCAAAGATAATTGAGTATTCGAGCAATGTTTTTGTCACAATAGCAGCTTATGTGAGGGACAATAGCAGCTTATGTCAGATGAACTTAGGTGTGTTTGATCATTGTGTTAACTGGGAGTGATGCTAGTGTTGTATGATAGATATATCATTGTGTTAACTAGGAATGGTGATATATATATATATATATATATATATATATATATATATATATATATATATATATATATATAGTTGGATTATAAAGTTGCCTGTATGTTGTGTATTCCCCCCTTTTTAAAATTTAACAAAGATGTTTGAAAAACTTTGACTTCTTAGATGTATTTTCATTTTAGTTGAAGAAGGCGTCTATCTTCAATAGAAGTTATTTTTGCAGAATATGCAACAGCCACAGAAGGAATTAGTAAACAATGTTATATGTGAGAAAAAAGGACTTAAAGATGTTAGAGATCATGTATATGCTTCCGATATTTCACGAGAGTCAGACCCTGGCATAGGAAGAGTCAGTGAAAGGCTTAAGGACCGAGATGAACATGACAAAACATATTATGGTGCTGGTATGGCTGCTACTGAAGCACAGCTTAATAGAAGGAAAGGATTCGATGTTAATCATTCTAATGGAAGCAATCAAGTATCTGGATCTGCAAATGCTAGTGCTCAGCTAACTTCAGTTGACTTGGTTGATACAGATAGAAGCAAATTAGAAGCATCTAGGAGCTGGAAGATCTCTGAGGAGGAAGAGTATCTGTGGGATGAAATGAAAACAAGAAAAACAGATTATGGAGGTATCAACTACTTGCAAAAAGTTGGGTGGAATAATAATAAAGCTGATAAGACTGCCAGCCTTGGAAGAGGTAAATGGATCCCTCTGGAGTCTGGGCATGTAGAGTCCAATGTGAACAAAGTTGATGCCTTCTCTCAATTAGTGAAGACTGCTAAAGGAGAAGGCAGAGTGCTGGCATATGAGGTATTTATGCTTTTGATGTTTCTAATCATTTTATCTTGGTACCGGATGCCATATTTTATGCTGCATGTAGTTTATATATCCTATTTTGTTCAATCATGGTTTGTAATTAGGAGATCATATGTTTGTATGGCATTATAGTTTCTGTTAGAATTTGGATCCTTTGTAATTCTGAGCTGAAACAAGGTAACATAATATATAGTGTTTTATCAGAAATTAGTATAATTTACAAGTCTCGTACAGGTAAGGCAGGTTAGTTGAAAATTTTTATTATTGTTAAAAATCGTTGTATACTTTCATTTGTCAAATATGTTCAACTAAAGGGTTATCAAGTAAATGCTTACACTATTAAACATATAGGATAATGACATTCTTGTCGTGCAGAGCCTTGGTGATTATCTTCCACCACTTCATGCCAAGCAGGACACTGATTTGGGATTCAGTATGGAGGCTTCTTCGAATTCACTATTGCAGCAAAGGGCTTCATCTGAAAATCATTCCTCATCCTTCTGGCCCTCCCATGAGGCGTCACAATCAGTGGTTGGATCAAATTATAAAGGCTCAAGTGTTGGTCAACTGAAAGAACAATCCATTTCTTTCAGTGGTGGTTCATCTACAAGCACTAGTTCTTCTTTGCCTCTTCCAGGGCTGAGATCCTCCGTCCTTTCTTCGAATTTGAGCTCTTATGTTCATATCCCAGGTTCAAGTGGAACTTCTGGACAGCAAAGGCCACAACCTTTACGACCTCCATCACTGTCTTCTCAGTTACCTCCATCTTCAGTGCACATTCAACAAGGGAAGCCACATGACTCAATTGATCATAATCATTTTCAATCTCATTCATTCTCTCAAGTGGATCAGAAGGCTTTGCATCTGGGGGGGCAACAAAATCAAGTGCAACATCTACCAGGGTCTCCAAGTAATTTTCTTGCTAAAAATCATGCTCAGCCAAGTTTATCAAGCTCAATAACATCCCTCTCAGATGTTTCTCAACAACTTGATGGTTTAATTAATGCTGCTAATCGGTTGAGTTCAAGGGATCATCTTCCTTTGACACAGCAATCACAACATAATCTATCCAAATGGCAGACAGAAAATCAGCCTCAGCCTGCCAAGCCTCAACCGCCCCTTCAGAGTGTAACCCAGTCTCAGACCGAGAAGCCACCACTTCTGCCTCTGGCAATTGGAGCTCATTGGAGTGGAAAAGACTCTGGGATGAGCTACTCAAATAATGCTGCTGTTGATGTTTCAACACCGCCTACCACGAGTAGTTTGCTGACTGCTATTATGAATGGTGGTTTATTCCCAAAGAATTCAGTAAGTGGCTTCCAAAAGGCAAGTATACAGCCTCCTTTACCTATTGGGCCTCCTCCTGTTCAAGCTTTGACATCAACTGCTCCTTCAGATACTCCATCATTGTTAGCTCCTATTTCCCTTGGTAATATACCAGATGTGAAGTCAACCACCCATTTTGGAGATGTGATGCCTCCCCTGCCACTTGGGCCTCCACCTTCATCATCCTTGGTTGGTGTGAACTCCGAGAACTCCAAGACATCTGATCCCAACGTGAACTCACTTTCAAGTCTTTTGAGTTCCTTGGTTGCAAAAGGTTTAATAGCCTCATCATCAACTGAGTTGCCAACTGTATCTGCAGCTCAGTCATCTAATAAGGTCCCAGATCAGTCCAGTGTCTTTGCTAGCAAAAGTTTGGAGCAAATTCCTCCGATCTTAACTACCTCAAGCACTCCTCCAACTTTGGCAGAAGAGCCTGCTGCTTCAAAATCAGTTGAAAGTGGCATGCTATCGCTATCCAATGCAGCTGAACCAAAGGATATAGGCATTGAGTTCAAATCAGAAATTTTACGTGGATTTCATCCTTCAGTCATCAGAAGTCTGCTAGATGATCTAGTGCATCAGTGCCACATATGCGGTCTAAGACTTAGACTACAAGAGCAGCTTCAATGTCATTTAGATTGGCATGTCTCACAGAAGTCTGTGATAAGTAATTTTAACCCGAAGTCTAGAAAATGGTTTTCAAATAGGACAAATTGGCTCGATGGTAGCATGAGACCAGAATCTCGTCATTTAGAGGCAGCAATTTTTTTGGAGGAAGTTGTCCCAATTAAAGAGAAATCTGAACCAATGGTTCCTGCAGATGAGAGCCAAAGTATATGTGCACTATGTGGAGAACCATTTGAGGATATATACTCTGAAGCAACGGATGAATGGATGTACAAAGGGACTGTATATTTGAATCTACCAAGCAAACAAGATGATGCAAACAATATGGATGGCACTGCTGGTAAGTCTCTTATTGTACATGCACAGTGCACAATACAAAGGTCTGCTGATGATACAGATATTGTGGAGCATGATAAAGTGGACCAACCATGTGCACCGAGGCAACCTAATTTGAATTCAGGGTGATCATGATTGGTTCTGTTGCTCCCTGGTAAGCTGCAAAATCATTTACAACTTTTCATGATATTCTGCATATGCTAATGCCATAATCATAAGTGAATACTTGCTGCTTTAGATTAAAATCAGGTTGAATTATTTTTATGCTCAGTTAAATGGCAACATTTTTATAATTTGTGATTGTTTCGAGGATATACATTTTTTTTAGTATTACTATTCTCAATCTTATCTTCAAAGTCCTTAAAGTAGGCTTGCATCAATGGCAGCAATAGCTTGAAAATCCTTGATGATGGATAATAGATGAGGCTTGAGAGAACTCAATAGTCTATTTCTGATTTGTTCTTTGGTTGTGCGAGCAGAATCATGTGAATCATAAAGCTTATGGTCTATTTGTTGTTTTAAAAACTGGAACTTTGTAATCGACTTTTACATTACCCCAAAAAAAACTTCTTCTGTACTGATGACAACCCTCTGTTTTTTGTCTCTGCTAGAATCATTCAAGGTTAGTTAATTGAAATTCTTGTGTTAGTCATGAAATTGTTTCCCTGGTTTATTCCACTTCAGAACTGTAATTAAGTTGCCCGAGATGAGAGTCATGAATTTGTTTGTGTTTCAGAAAAGAAGTGTTTTAAAGAAATAGAGTTGGACTTTTTGTTAATTATCATCCCTCTTCTATTGTTCTTCTCTTTTACAGTTCTGGTACAAATGCATAGTTCTCAATGGAAAGTATTTACCAGCTTTGCACTGCACTTCAAGTCACCGGAACCAGATTGGCTTACTTGAGGTTTGTTGTGGCACTTGCATGTACTTATGTGCATGCCACCTTACCTGTTGTTTTTTGTGCTTGAAAATTAGAAATTGATATTTTTCTCATTTGTCTTTTTCTTTTCATCTCACCATATATATGTTTTCCAAAGAAATGGATAAAAGAAGTGTGTTTTGATCTTTCCCTGCTCTTGGTGTCTCTATGGTGTATCTCTCTATTAATCTCCTTGAAGTGGCTCTTGTTTTTCATTCAGTGTCAGGTCTGAACTTACAGTCAACTGCAGAAAGATGTCTAGATTACTTTCATCAGGCTCATTGGCAACTTAACTCGTCCAATGATATTGTACACGTTGGCTGACCATGCTGGCGACCTTCAACTTTTGAGCATTGTGGTTACTTTTACTCGTACTGCATGAACTGTACGTTACATTATTGTTTCAAGGATGCAGCATGACATCTGTTATCTCTGTCCTTAAAGATTTATTTTGGTGAATTGTAGTTGCATTTGTGATGTGTTGCTAATGGAGCTGTCAAGTGATGGACATTTAGCTGCTCCTACTTCATGTTAAACTTTCCGAGTAGGATGGGTTACAGTAAAAGCAGTGCTAAATGTCTATCACTTGACAGTTCCATTAGCAACACATCTTTATTTGTTCCTGTGCCAATGTAGATTATAGTCTTTTTACATAATACCTTACACAGAAGAAGGAAAGTTTCTACTGGCAATCGGATCAGTTAAATGTCTGCGTGGGCCTACTAATATCTGGGAATACCTGTTCTGCATCAGTTAAGTACATATTTTAGAGGATGAATGCAAGATCATTCCCAGCCCAAAACCTCATTGAATTCCTAGTCCTATAACTATAGGGTTTTGGTTTTCTTGTGTTGGCATTCTTCAACTCTTGGTACTTGCATCATCTTGAATTGTAGTAGCTCTTGCTTGAAGTATTGCTTGATGCTATTGCTAGTGTTGGAATCCCTGAACCACACTGGATGTCTGGGCTAGTTTGATGACTGAGATTATTTTTTTTTTGTGATTACAAGTCAATTATTAGCAGTGATCCCTACATATATTACATGTAGGGATGACATGATGTCATGGTTGGAGTGGAATATACTTTAGTATTTTATGGAACTAAATTTGATTCATATTTTTTAAGCCATCAATAACAGTTCCAATGTATTTTTTTTTATTTTTGGTACGAAGAAGGAAGGATAAATAGTGAAAATGAAATTTGATCGAAAAATCGTCTTGAGATTCTCAACAGTTCTTATGCTTTATCTGCTTAGTACTACAGTACATTGAGATGCAAAGTATACATTTATTTGAAAAAAAACAGCAAAATTAGTAGAGTTGAAGCAAAACATTACTTTTGTCTTCCTCTGGTAAACATATTGAGGAAGAACAGTATCAGAAAGTTTAGGACACATGCAATTGGCAGGGATATATTTGATTCTTTTTTTTTCCTTGTTTTTCTTTTTGTAGTAGATGTTGAGAAAGAAAGTTATTAGGAAACTTAGAACTCAAGCAATGGCAAAGGTGAGGGTTTGATTTTTCTTGGTGCTCAAAAGGTAGTCAGCCATAGAAAATTCCAAAACAAAAAGGAAAGAAAGATGGAGATCAGTTGATGTCTCTTATGTTGACAAAGACAGTAGTTCAGAGTTCATGCATGGCAGAAGTAGATTAAGAAATTTGGAACACATGCGAAGAAAAAGGTAATGGTGATTCTTTTTGTGCTGAAAAAGGGTCTACAACCCATCGAAGTGCAAACGAAAGATTGGCTGTAGACATCTACAAGAAACAGAGAGAGAGAGAGAGAGAGTTGATCTCTGTTTCTTTTGTGGGTGAACTAATCAAAGAGATGCATCCAAGGTATACAATGTATGAACTGGTCTACTGACCTGAATAAAGACTATTACATGTCGGATTTAGACATTAGTAAATCAGGTATTTTGACTTGGTTTGTCCAAATATCTAAACGTCACCTCTATCCAATGACTTTTTCATTTTATATATCATTGTCATCACAGTCTATGACTAAAAATGAATCATTAGGGGTTCTAGAATACTATGTAAAATAATCATTCATTAGAGGTTCTAGAATACTATGTAAAATAATCATTCATTAGGGGTTCTAGAATACTAGCATAATTTGTCTTTTAACTTTGTTGAACCTAACTTGTCGATTCAAAATGTAACATAATTTGTCTTTTAACTTTGTTGAACCTAACTTGTCGATTCAAAATGTTTCGTGCATGAGTAATCATTTTTTACTCGAGTCTTTCTCTATTCGATATTAGGTATACCTATTATCATGATTCGATTTGAAAGAATTTTTATATAATTAAAAATAAAGAGCAACTATAAAGGAAAGAGGATTTTTATTCTATTGATCATCTATCTCTTGTCTGTCCATCTGTGAATAAAGTAAAAAAGAGTTCATTTTTGGATTACTTGAAGTCTCGAATAGATTGGATCGTTTTTGCTTTTGCCAACAAGATGAAGGCATCGCCGGTTCTAAATGTTTCTCCAATCTCCAAGTTTTTGGGAGAAGAATAAGATATTGCTCCCCCTCCTTATAATCTTTTGACTTGTTAATTTCGTTGAGCCTGAATTATCGATTTAAACTATTTAAATCCAAGTTAATAGTAATATACTTATAGGATCCTTATAAATAATTCTAACTTATAATGTGAAGTTAAATCATGGTACATTACGTGGATGTGTTTCAAGCTGCTATTAAGGTTGGTTAGATTCTGTCCGTCCAGGTATATAGATAGAATCAAGGTTGGGAATTATTTGAAAGCTTTTTATTTTATTTTTATTTTTTTGGGATAAATGAAATCCAAACACGGATTAAAGAGAATAAATCAACGATGGATTGGGTCAAAGTCAGCAACTGCTAGAAATACCTGCGAACCGAGTCAAAGCATGACACTTACCAACGTGTAATGCTCCATCGAGGATGACATAAAACTAGAAGACTCCGGCTGGGCCGCAACTTTATCGTGTCTGTCACAATAAATATTTTGATTTTTATATTTGTTAAAAGTTATATTAGTATTTTTTATATTTATAAAAATAAAATATTTAATCTTATTTCTCGTCCCTGAATTGTCACGTGTAAAAATCACGTTAAAAAGAAGATAATTTTTTTTTAAAATCTCATTGTCTAAATATATTAATTTCACATCAGAATAACTTCGCTGAAAACTTCATTATTCTCTTTCAACTTCATTCTTCCCTCTTTTATTATCCTTTTGGATGATTTATCCAATGATGACATTAGTGGTGATCATGATCATCATCTCTTGAACGATCTACTTAATCACGGCGTATCGAAATTAATCTGACATAAATCTTTCATATATATATATATATATATATATAATAGGCTGTGTGCGTCATGTGTGACGTTTCAAGATGTACCAATCACAGCCCACAGGATGGATACCTTCGTAACCTACCACAAAACTGTCCAAGTCAGGTTGGTAGGCAGCTGCCAACCTTCTTCTTTGTTTGCTTTTCTCTTCTCTTCAACCTCTCCCAACCCAACCACCACCCACAACGCCGAGAGAAGGCCTTGGTTTCCCAAAAAGTTTAGCTTTACAGTCGCGTTTAGGGGGAAGCCATGCAATATATATATATATATATATATATATAT